GCGTTTGATTCTACACTACAGGGTGCAGGCTGTTTCATTCTGCATCAGTTACAATACCCAGGTATTCTTTGAGCTGAAGAGTATTGTGGTAATTTCTCATCTCAGCTGCAGCTGAGCAAAGGCATCAGAGTTCCATCTATTGATGTAGGTCAGCGGTTCTCAACCTGTGGGTCGCAACCCCATTTGGGGTTGAACGACCATTTCACAGGGGTCGCCAAACAATGCAGTCTGCCATTCCCCCCCCCCTTTTCCTTAGCTTGAATAGAGTCTAATTCTATTGGCTTTCAAAAGTCAATAGGAATTGTCCAGGCTGTCTCTGCCCTGCTGAGCCCGCCAAAAGTCCCATTCTGCAAATGGTGCTGCAAGTTATCTGCAGCGAAGGCAAGCTGTCTGGAAGTTTCCACCCCTCCCTGCTGAGCAACTACTAAAAATGTAAGTAAAAGAGGGCCAGGGGTGGGAGGTGGGAGGCCGGCGGGCGCAGGGAGGGTTGCTGGTGCGCGTGGGGCCTGGCGGGTGCCTTACCTCCCTTGGGCTGGGCCAGCTGGTGGCCCAGCCGGTGATCGCCCTGCGCCGTCGCTGCCCCTTGCCAGCTACGCCTCGGCTGGTGCAGGGGGCGGCACCACGCATGCGTGGCGCTCGCAGGCAGGGAAAGTCCTCGACTTACGACCGGTTGGGTAGTCCTCGACTTACGACCGGTTGGGTAGTCCTCAACTTACGACCGGTTGGGGGTCGCGGCATTAAAAAGGTTGAGAACCACTGATGTAGGTGGAACTGTGTATGCAGGTGCACTGCCAAATTGTGGACCTGCCCCTTCATGACAGTGTTATATCTCTTCCAGAACCAGCAAGGAAGGCCACCAAACTACTACTGGAAAAATAGTTTCTCTTTCTTCCTGGGAAACAAGTTCAACGTGTTTCAATTCTTATTCCACAAGAATTGGGTGAGAACTTCCACCAAATCTCTTCATCACTATGTTGAGATGACTACTTAGATGCTATTAGCATAAAGGTAATCCTCAATTTAACAACCATAATTGGGACCAGGTCCATTGTTGCTGAGTGAGACAAATTGTTAAGTGAGTTATGTCTAATTTGCCACCTTTTTGCCATGTTTGTTAAGCAAATCATGGTTGTTAAGTAAACTATATGGTTTTTAAGGGAATCTGGCTTCTCCCATTGACTTGCTTGTCGGAACCCAGATGAGAAAGTAACAAATAGTGACCATGTGACCCCAGGATATGCAACCATTGTAAATACATTCCTGTTGCCAAGTTGCTGAATGTTGATTATGTGACTGCAGGGATTGTGACAGTTGTCTGTTTTTTTTTAAACACTGTCATAACATTGGTTGGTCATTAGACAAATGATTGTAAATCAGAGACTACCTGTATTGATATTCCACCTTTAACTCCAGATGGCCTCCTCTGCTGGCTTCATGTAGATATTATATAGTATTATATAGTGTGCAGTGCCCCACATAAAAGAGGTTGTTATGGGTCTCATCCTTCATCCCTCATCACTGTTGACTGATACCACCTAAGGAAGGAGAACAATTATAATGCAGTGCCCCCAGTTTCAATTCTTCTGGGTGTTCCAAAGTATATTATGATTGATGGTGTGAAAAGCAGCTGAGAAACCTAGCAAGACAAGGAAAGCTGCATTCCCAACATTCAAGTCTCAACAAAGGTCATTCACAAGAACAGCCAGTTCTGACTCTGTCTCACAGCTGGCTCTGAGCTGGATCCAGATAATCAGTTTCATCCAGGATTCTTTACGACTGAAATCCCAATACAAGATTTTTCATAATAATGGATGGACATTGTCTAACATTTGTCTGAAATGGTATAGGGTTTCCTGCCTGAGCAGGGGGTTGGACTAGATGACCTCCAAGGTCCCTTCCAACTTTATTATTATTGTTGTTGTTGTTGTTGTTGTTATTATTATTATTATTATTATTATTATTACACTGTGGGGTTGAGAGATAGCCTCTTCCAAAGAAAGTTTATCATAGCTGCAGGTATCTATCACTTCCCAACTACAAAAGGCATTACCCATTTTTATTATTTATTTATATTTCAGTCTTCTTACCACCCCTCTCCCTTATTTCTCAAGTCCATTCCCTCACTTCCAGCTTAGCCACCAAAAGGTGCCAGGAAGGATGATGGTCAAGCTCATTGGTGATAGAAATTAAACGGTTCACATCTTTAGAGTCAACAAAATTGAGCCAATCCCTAATTATTTTGCAAATTGTTAGCCTAGTTATCTCCTTGGCTACCATCAACATACAAAAGTGATTTTATTAGCAAAAATTTCTTGCACCTTTTTCTAAAGCAGTGGTTCTCAACCATTTTAATGTCGCGACCCCCAACCGGTCATAAGTCGAGGACTACTCAACTGGTGCAGCACCGTTTGCAGAATGGGACTTTTGGTGGGCTCAGCAGGGCAGAGACAGCCTGGACAATTCCTATTGGCTTTTGAAAGCCAATAGAATTAGACTCTATTCAAGAGAGTCTATTCTATTGGCTTTGAAAAGCCAGTAGAATAAAAGGGAGTAGCACAGCTAAGGAAAAGGGGAAAAAAATGGCGGACTGTGTTGTTTGGCGACCCCTGTGAAATGGTCGTTCGACCCCAAATGGGGTCCCAACCCACAGGTTGAGAACCACTGTTCTAAAGGAAGATCAATCAATCAGAATAGAGCTGGAAGAGACCTTGGATGTCTTCTGGTCCAAGCCCCTGCTCAAGTAGGAGACCCTGTATTATTTCAGACAAGCCTCCAGTTATGAAGCACCCACAACTTCTGGAGGCAAGCTGTTCCACTGGTTAATTGTCCTGACTGTTAGGAAGTTTCTCCTTAATTCCAAGTTGCTTCTCTCCTTGATTAGTTTCCATCCGTTGCCTCTTGTCTTGCCAACACTACCCTAGTTAAAACAAGGCTTATAGATGGCATTTCACTGATGCAATGAGGACAGTGCAGTACTGAAATGTTGTTGTCTTTATGTTATGAACCCAAATAAGGACTCATACATGTGTTCAATTATATTCATTTTCTACCAAAAACAGCTTTTTAATTATTTATTGGGTTTATTTGCTTATGCCATTCTTTCATTACCAACTTCACGGACACAATATACCCATCCTCTGCGTATCCAGTTAAAAAAACACAGTTGTGATTTTTCTAGTCACTGGAAATAACCATCATTACAATAATATCAACAAAAAAGTAACTAAAATACTGTGACAGCTATATCCTCTATGCCAGGGGTGTCAAACTGCCAGCCCATGGGCCGGACACGTCATGCAGAAGCTGCGCCCAGCCCATTGCTGGCAATGGCAAAACTCTCCCGATACACTGCGCGACGTCATGTGACGTCGCGAGTTTGACATGTCTTGACGGGTGTCAAGCTCGCCACGTCACGTGATGTGTCGCAACGTATGCAACTTTTTTTGCACTGCTGGAGCTAAGGTGGGCGTGGCCTCTGCATGATGCAACCGGCCCATGGGCTGGCAGTTTGACACCCCTGCTCTATGCTACACTTAAACCATTTTTTTTCTACCACTTCATTTTCTGGAGCTCCTTGGTAAGTTTGATCTGTGATTAGGAAGATATTGCAAACATGCCCACCCCATAATTGCTTCCGTATTCCAGAAAGTAAGTAGATTTGTGGAGCAAGTGGGAACTTCCCAGCCACGATTCAATTTCCAAGTGCCTGGGATGCTAATTTGAGGAATGTGTTAATAACTGGAAATCAGCCACAGGAAGCTGGTTGTTTTAGCAAAGGCACTGAAGAAGAAAAACTAAATGTGTTGCATTCTGATGACTTCTACCACTAATAATGGCCATTGCTTAGCTGGAAACTTTTAAATGCCTGGGAAGTAAATAAAAGGAATAATAAAGAAGTAAAATACAGGTAGTCCTCAACTTACAACAGTTCATCTAGTGATCATTCAAAGTTATACGGTAACTGCACTGAAAAAAGACTTATGACCCTTTTTCGCACAACTGTTGCAGCATCCCCATGGTCACATGATCAAACATTGGATGCCTGAGCAAGGGATTCATATTTCTGTTGCGTTGCCTCTAGATCAGCGGTTCTCAACCTATGGGTCGCGACCCCATTTGGGGTCGATCGACCATTTTTCGGGGGTCGCCAAAAGTGGCGATCCGCCATTTTTCGCGGCGCCGTGCACGCGTGCCGCGCATGGGGGTGGCGCCGTGCACGCGCATCGCGCATGGGGCGCCCCCATGCACACGCATCGCGCATGGGGCCGTCGCGTATGCGTGCTGTGCATGGGGGCGGCGCCGCGCATGCGCACCACGCATGCGCAGAACGTTTGTGTGACGGGGGTCGCCGTCACACAAACGTTGAGAAGCACTGCTCTAGATCATGCGATCACCTTTTGCAACCTTCGGCCAAGCAAAGTCAACTGGGACGCCAGATTCACTTAACAATGGTTTTGCTAAGTTTAACAACTGCAGTGCTTCAATGAACAACTGTGGCAAGAAAGATCATAAAATGGAGCAAAATTTACTTCACAAGTGTCTTGCTTAGTGACAGAAAATTTGGGTTCAATATGTGGTCGTAAGTCAAGGACTACCTGAACTGCTTTGCAAGCAAATTCAAAGCAGGGAATGTTTTTAAACGTCGGTTTGGGTAGTTGCAGGACTTTTGAAAACTTAATGACTGTTAAGCAGTTAAATATCTATCAATGGGAAGCTGGTTGTTCAGATGAGAAAATTTCTTGCAGCCCGACAAGCACTGGAACTGGAAGGGTGGAGAGCTTTTCGGGCTGATTTCAGAGGCTACGCGTGCACGCTGTCATCCCAAAGAAGGACTGGCTTTCCAAAGACGGAATAGCCGGAAAACTCCCGGCTCTTTCCAGCTCATTTTCCGCTTTGGAAACCTTATACTTTTTCTTTAAAAGCCGGCGGGCGGGAGGAAGGGGGGGGAGGGACGCCGCCATCTCTACAAAAGCGGTTTCCAAGGAGGGAGGGATTAGTTGCCAAGGTGATTTGGAGGAGCCCGAAGAATGGCACCCCTCCCCGTTACCTTCGAGGCGCGGGTTTATGACGTCAGTGGCCTTAAAGGGGAAGAGGGTGGTTATTTAAAGGATCCACGGGTGGATTCTCCCACAATGCAATGAAGTTCTTTCTGCTTCTTCCCTCCTTTTCATTGACCCTTTTCTGACGGCTTTTTTCCCCTCTTCTCTCTTTTTCTATCTGGCTGACAAATATTAGTCCCTCGTTTCTGGCCCTTTAACGAGGCCCCTTTAATTCCTTTCTCTTGGCTTGCCTTCTTTTTGGGCGATTTGGGGCCGTCCCCTCTCCTTCAAGAGAGGGGGAACCGCGATCCAGGTGAGGGGGGGGAAGGAGAGGTTGGGGAAGGGGGCGGGGGTCGGTACCCGGGAAGGGGGGGGAGAGGTCTCTGGTTCTTTGCGAGGAAGCGAAACTGGTTTCTTTGCAAGGAAGAAAGGAGCGTGCAAAGGGAGAAAAAGGGAGAGAGAGGCGGGGAGCAGTAACGAAGCGGGTGGTTTTGTGCGCAACTGCACGCGAGAGATCCCGGCGTTGGAAACGTGCAAACCGTGGGAAAGGACGTGCAAGCTCTTCTCGCACGCCCGCGCGAAAAGGAAAGGTTTCAGGTTAGGCTTTGTGCTGCAAGAAAGAAGGGAAGATTCCCGCCTTTTTCAATCTCTAGAAAGCGGCGCTTTGCAATCGAGGAAACGCTTCCGATCTTGATCCAGCGGGTTGGGAAGCCGAGGAGTAACGCGGCGGACTTCCACGTGTGTATGTGTTTGTGTGTGTGCGCCCTTTCCCACGGCACTCCCTTTGGTGGAATTAATGCCACACACCTCCCCAGCCATCGCACGTAAAGTTAAGTTAATCACACTTTTTTTTTTCTTGCAAGCGCTCTCTCCGCTTGCAACTTCTGTGCAGCGGAATAGTTCGAACTGGAGTTTATGCACGCGTTAAGATGCTCGTGTGTTGGAAAGCCGGGTCCGTTGGCCGATGCCTGAAACGTGGACTCTTTAGAAATACAGCCATCTTATTAGGTGAAAGATGAGCAGGAGGTAGAAAACACTTTGGGAAACGAGCTGAGCAAACGGGCCTACGTGCGTGCTTCCCTTTTTTTCTGTATGGGTATATGCAGTATTCATCCTGCAGAAAATGCATAGAAGTCAAAAATGACTTAATGGTACAATAATAAAAAAATGCAATATAGGCATTGATTATTTTGCAAGGGAAGCCCAGATCTAGAGATGATATTGCAAGCCCTGAGCTAAAGAGCAGAATATTAGCTAAAGAGCAGAATGTTATTCCATTAATTCCATTAACCTCCCAAGCCAAAAATCGAATCTTGATGTGTTGTGTGAACCAGGATGGAAACTGTGTTTGAGGTCACAATAACTCTTAGCTTTGGGGAACAAAAATGTGCTTAATCTGTTTGGCTTTTCCCCCCTCACTCCCATATTCCTGCAGTACCTGATTGATAAAGCAGTCTGAAGATTGAGATATCATTGAAGCTTAAGGAAATGCTGAGTTCATACATCATACTAAACTAGGGTTGCTGGTATTTGGACTGCAGAGCACCACCCAACAGAGCAGATGGTAATTTTATTTGCAGCTGTCTAGTGGTGGTTTGGAGTTTTGCAATACAGATAGGTCAACTGTAGATTTAGAAATTTAGAACATTTCTGTAGTAGTTTGTAAACCTGTGGTTTATAGCTTAGTAAATGATGTGAAATAAGCAAACTTACATCGGAGATACATTTCAATTTCAATCACAATTTAGGGTACAGATGCTTATTATCTGCTCTTTAAAAAAGGAGTAAAAGGTTTAGGATGGATATATATCTCATGCCAAGCTATGAGACCTTAGGTTATAAGCCACAAAGGCTGATTTCAAAACAATATACCTAGCTAAAGCCAAACAAATCATCCTCTGACATAACATTGTGTAAACTCGGCCAACATTATGCATTTTGTTCTTCATTTAGTTTCCATAATTTCAATTAGAAGGTGATTAGTTGGGTAGGACTTGTCTGCTTAGTTCATAAAATTTACTAATCTCAAACTGGATAAATCAGATTTTGCACCTTGGTGGTATGAGGGGGGGAGGAGAGGTAGTACTTTGTCTAAGGTGATATTATTTAAAGTCTTAAACCCTGTGTCATCTTCATCTCCTTTTTTTTTCCAGTGTCTGTTTTTTTTTTACCCTGAACCCTCAGCCTCTTCTGTTCTTCCTCCCCCTGTGGAAGTTGGCACTCTTTTCCACCTCGCAAGAGCCAAAATGGCATCTGGCGTGGAGCTCCTTCGCTTTCAGCTGCCTGGCCACGAGGCAGCCACCTTGCGCAACATGAATCAGCTACGCTTTGAGGAGCGTTTTTGTGATGTCACTATCGTGGCGGACAGCCTCAAGTTCCGCGGCCACAAAGTCATCCTGGCGGCCTGCTCCCCATTCCTGAGAGATCAGTTCCTGCTCAACCCTTCTTCCGAGCTCCAAGTTTCCCTCATGCACAGCGCCAAGATTGTAGCCGACCTGCTTCTCTCTTGCTACACTGGAGCACTCGAGTTTGCCGTCAGGGACATTGTGAACTATCTGACCGCTGCCAGCTACCTCCAGATGGAGCATGTGGTGGAGAAATGTCGTAATGCCCTGTCCCAGTTCATCGAACCCAAGATCAACCTCAAGGAAGAAACGGCCAAATTTGGAGGCTACCGGAAATTCAAGTCTTCCAGTGTTGTGGGTTGCTCTACCTCATCTAATAAAGTGCACTCACGCAAGAGGTTTGCTGAATAGTTCCTCAGTCTTACAATTACTTGTTCAAAACAGTTATTAGCCTCTTCGGGTGCCCTCTTCCCCACAAGTTTTGAGGTCCTTCCTAAAAGAAAAAAATCGTCCATGGAAAGAACCAACTTTTTTGGGGGGGGGGAGAATTCCCTGCTTGGTCACTTAGAGGTGTTTCTTACTCACCACAGGTGACCAATGCAAGCTATCTAAAATTGTTATTAGTGGTATTTCTTTAACTGTGTGCTATAAGGAATATATTGGGTAAGCAAGATAATAGCACTATGTCTGGGCAGCCAAAGCAATGATAGCTTTTTGTTTCAGTCAATGCCTATCCTGCGTAATTTGATTAAAAGAAATGTTTATTTGACATGCTCATAGTTGCATAAATATTCAGTAAAGCTTGGGAGTTCCCAAGATTTAATCAGAATAACAGAGTTGGAAGGGACTTTGGAGGTCTTCTAGTCCACTCCCCTGCACAAACAGGAGACCTTATAGCTTTCCAGAAAAAAGATTGTCCAGTCTCTTCTTTAAAACCTCCAGTGATGGAGCCCCCCACAATTTCTGAAGGCAAGCCATTCCACGGGTTTATTGTTCTCACTGTCGGGAAATTTCTCCTTAGTTCTAGGTTGGTTCTCTCCTTGATTAGGTTCCATCACAACAAGTTGTAATATGTCCCCCCACAACCACGTGTCCACATTTTGGGCACTCAGCGAGCAGTCTGCATTTACCACTGTTTGCAGCGTCCCACAGTCAGTGGAAAAGTTCTGTCAGAAAGAAAATTGAGAGGAAAAAAATGTATTTGCTTAAATTCTGAAGGTAAAGAGCATGCAGAAGAATTTAGTCAGGGACTAGTGTTTCTTAAGAGTACATGCATCACTTAGATAGCAACACCCCAATGCATTTGTGTGCTCAGACACATGCACAAGCTATGTGTGTACTTAGGAACCATCTATAATGTTTAGCAATACCTAGTTACTGGTTTCTACATTTAAGTTCAGTTGTCAACTAAAGACTGGCAGATTGAAGGCAGTGGCTAGGTTGCATAAATAAGTAAGCAAGCGAATGTGTGGAAAAATTCAACATTTGGGGAGTATTTCTTTTAAGTAGAACTTGATGAAGAGAGTTAATGGTTTTGAGGGAGAATAGTTTTTAGGGTCCAGGCTACTTTCTGACTTGGACTTCAGTACACCATTCAGTAGCCAAGTGACTTTTAGCTCAAACCTAGTTGCCTTTCCTTCAATTTATATAGGAGCAAATAGTCCGCAGTGCCAAATAACAATGAAAAGTTGTATATTGCTTTGAAAGGACCCATTATGTTAGATTCCTTGCCATCTTCTGGTCCTGGTTGATGCTACATCTTGCTTTTCTGTGCCTCTTTCATCAGCTTTCATGAAAAGCAAACCCATACTATATGAATGTTGATTCAAATCTTCATTTTGGGATGTATTGTCAAGGAGTAACCTCCAACTAGATAAGAAGGTCTGTAGTTTAGTGGAAGGTTGCACATTCAGTTCTCCACTTGGCTGTACTGAGAAGAACTGCCTGTCTCTAAAGATGGATAGAACTAATTAGACTTGAGAGTATGGGCTTCCAATAATGAACCAATCGTCTGATTTCTTGTAAGACAGTGGCGTTATCCATGCCTCATTCTTTCTAATGTTCTACATGTATTCTTATGGTTGATAGGTCCATTCAGCGGCCCGTTAAGCTGGAATTCCCACTGGAAGAAGAGTTGGAGATGAAAGCTGAAGAAGAAGAAGAGGAACAGGAGGAGGATTTTGGGTATGAAGATTCTGTCTCTGATATCTGCATTGTGAAGATTGAATCGGCCATGGAAGTAGCCCAGCGGCAGAAGAAGCAACAGCAGCAGATGGGCACCAGCTGGAGCAAAGACACATCACCCCAGCAAAGTTGGAACAAGGAAAGTTCACCACAGCAAGCTTGGGACAAAGAATTATCTCCTCCACCCGGGTGGAACAAAGCTGAATCCGGAGACCAGGAAGAACCTCAAGTCAACTCTACAGTGGCAGAAGCCATTGAGTCTTCTCCAGAATCTACACCAGAGAAACCTCAGCATGGTGTGGTAAAGGCCTCCTACAGCCTCTCTGAGGATGACGTAGGTAAAGGCCTCCTGATCATCCCTGGGGGAGGCTACTTGGAGGAGACCAGCGAGGCGGCAGCCGTTGCCGCCGAGTGCCAGAGCAGCAGCGGTGGGATGGGGCTGGTGCTCGCAGGATTGAGTGGTCGTCCCTTCTCCACCTTTCCCGTGGTCGGGAGAGGTGGCAGTTCAGGAACCCTTGGGGGAGGTAGCGGGATCTCAAGAATCATCTGTTGCACCAAGTGCGAGGAGGTCTTCCAGGGGGTGGAGAAGCTGGTCTTCCACATGCGGGCCCATCACTTCATTTTCATGTGCCCTCGGTGTGGCAAGCAGTTCAACCACAGCAGCAACCTCAACCGGCATATGAATGTTCACCGTGGGGTGAAATCCCATTCCTGCACCATCTGCGGGAAGTGCTTCACCCAGAAGTCCACGCTGCATGATCACATGAACCTCCACAGTGGCGAGAGGCCCTACCGCTGCTCTTACTGCGACGTGCGCTTTGCCCACAAGCCCGCCATTCGCCGCCACCTCAAGGAACAGCACGGCAAGACCACGGCAGAGAACGTCATGGAGGCCAGCGTGACCGAAATCAACGTCCTCATACGTTGAAGGAAGAAGTCGGGTAGCGCTGGGAAGTGGAAAGGGAGACTCCTGAGCTCTGAGGGAGGGACGTGGGCTGTAGGGATTAGATGTAGGGGTAACGAGCCAGGATCCCCAAGTTTTGTGGGATAGGATTAGTGCTAGTGTGGTAGAGGGTGGAAGCCCTGGATTCTTTGGACGGGTGTGGGAAGGGCCTAGTGGATTAGCAGAGTAGACCGTACATGAAGTGAAGCTCCTGGATAGTCTGGGAAATGAAAGGGATCTAATTAGTTCGAACAGAAGGCGATAGGAGATGGGATTCCTGGGATCTGTCCTCATCCAACACCCCAGAAAACAAGCTCAGGATCCAAAAAGCTCTTGACAGACTTGAACAATGGGCCCTATCCAACAACATGAAATTTAATGTGGAGAAGAGCATCATGGTTTTACACCTGGGCAGGAAAAACCAAAGGTACAAGTAGAGATTAGGCGGAATCTGGCTCAAAAACAGTAACTCTTGAGAGGGACCTTGGAGTCCTAGTGGACGATCATTTAAACATGAACCAGCAGTGTGCGGCAGCAGCCCCCAAAAAGCTGATGCAATCCTTGGTTGTATAAACAGAGACAGAGAATCAAAATCACGTGAAATATTAGTACTACTTTATAAAGCCTTAGTAAGACCACACCTGGAATGCTGCATCCAGTGTTGGTCACCACATTACAAAAAAGATGTTGCAACTGCGGAAAAAGTGCAAAGCTGATTAAAGGCCTGGAGACTAAAACATGTGGAACAGTTGCAGGATTTGGGTTTGGCTAGTTAGAGAAAAGAAGGACTAGGGGGGACATGATAGCAGTACTGCAGTATTTGAGAGAGGCTGTCACAAAGGGGAGGGGGTCAGTTTATTCTCCAAAGCACCAGAGGGCAGGAGAAGAAATGATGGATGGTAACCTGCAGTCAAGGAGAAACTTTCTAACAGTGAGGACAGTTAACCAGTAGAAGAGCTTGCCTTCAAATATGGGTGCTTCATCACTGGGAAGTTTTTAAGTAGAGATTGGACAGTTACCTGTTTGAAATGGTATAGGGCAGGGGTAGGCAACCTTGGCTCTTTTATGACTCGTGGACTTCAACTCCCAGAATTCCTGAGCCAGCATGGCTCAGCTTGGAAAACCTCTCCCTTTCCCCTCAGTATGGCTGGCTCAGGAATTCTGGGAGTTGAAGTCCAGGAGTCATAAAAGAGCCAAGGTTGCCTACCCCCTGGTATAGGGGCTCCTGCTTGAGCAGGGGGCTAGACTAGAAGACCTCCAAGTTCCCTTCCAGCTCTATTGTGATTGAAATCCCTCACAGGATCCTTGTGGCCCTTTATAAAAAAAAAAAAGGCTACCTCTTTTACAGCCTAACTCTATCCAGAGTTTGTTCAGATGTTTTATGGCAGTGGGCAGGGCTGCCTTCCAAGTAGGTATGGTAGGATTGTGGCTATGGGTTGTTAGAAGAGGGGAATGTCACATGAGATACCTCCTCCTTCCCTAGTGAGATGGATGAGACCTGGCACTATCTTCAGCCAAAGAAACTGAGGGGAAAAAAAACCTTAAGCAGTATGGCATAGAGGAGATTGATCTCCATCAAAGTTAAGATACAGTTGGTACATGCTGCCAGCCTTCTGTGGCCTTGGACCTTCTCTCTGATCTTCATGTCACCAGACACAAGAACAGCTCAACAAAGACGGCACAGATGAGGCTTTAGGACATCTGAAGCCTTTGAGAACCTGAAAACTGAAGGAAAGTTGACAGCCACCTACACCTCACCGGTGACACTTACTTGCTGAGATTGACATCATTTGGGCAAAGAAAGTCTCTACTGTGACGTTTGATGGGAACAGCCGCTTAATGCAATTTTATCCAGGTATTTAAAAAGGCAATAATTCTACAGGAAATGACAGAGGAGTGAGGGATCTGCTGGAGGAAGTAGCAGGCCCAGTTCTCCGCTCCTCCATCATTGTATCGCAGAAATACAGACTTCATCCTCCGGAGACATCTTGGTAAGAGCAACAGCCAATATGAAGTTCTTCGACCACGTGGCTGTGAATATAAGCTTAGAGTATAGTAGTCAAGATGGAGACCTGGCTTTTGAAGGCTTTGTGGGCCTTTTTTGCTGACCAACAGAGGCGAAACAAAGAAGTTCTTTGGTAACTTGCTGTTGTCATAGAATTTGGCTTTTCTAGACAGGGCATTGGTTTATTATGAGCATAGTGGGAACAGATGTTCTGGAGAATGTAGAGCATTGTCTTAGAAAACAACAAGCACAGTATTTTTTTTTTCCTTTTATTAAGAATCAGTAATAGTATGGAAGAAAACCAAAAAACAGGCAGATATTGGGCTCAGTGCTATTCACATTACAAAATGCTATTTAATAGGATAGTGACCATATACCATGATAGAAAATGAAGTTTTTAACTGTTTAGAACAGTGGTTCTCAACCTGTGGGTTGGGACCCCATTTGGGGTCGAACGACCATTTCACGGGGGTCGCCAAACAAGGCTGTCCGCCATTTTTTCCCCCTTTTCTTTGGCCATGCCCCTGGCACCCAGTGATGTATAAGTGGTTGGGGGTCACCACAACATGGGGAACTGTATTATGGGGTCGCGGCATTAGAAAGGTTGAGAACCACTGGTCTAGAAAACTCAAGCAAATTTGATCAGATTGTTTAAAGACGTTCTTCCTTCTTTGTTAAGAACTAATTCAGATGTTGCTAAAGAATTAAGGCCTTGCAAATTGATCTTGATCCCTGGTGATTTCATGATCATACCTGTGCCCTTTTTTTCTTGGCCACAGTGTGAAACTTGCTTCTTGTTGCCTTCTTTCAGGATGTTTCTTTCCCCTCTCCACCCCCCCCAAAAAGCCTACAGTTCTGGAATTTTTCTAGTGGTCCCATCCAAGTACTAAGCTGGCTTTGCTTTCTAAAATCAGCTGACGTCTCTTTTTCAGAGCAGGGAAATTAAACATCCTCAGCGGTAGATTTGGTATAGATTTATCCTTCCAGTGTTGCATAATAATTATTTGGCTACTTTTCCATTCATGAAATTGCCATAAATAAGGTTCTATTTGCATATTGTGCTAAGCAGGAGCTATTGACCAAACCATAGTTGACAGAGTTCTGACAACTTGCTAAGCCTAAACAAGCCCTACAATTTGTGACTCTTGGCAGAAAGTTTTGGAAGCGTCTTACAGAAATGGTGAATACTTCATGCTTAAAATTAATCAACATGCCAATCTTTGAAAAGCTGGATTTTGCAATCTAGAGATGGGGAACTTGATGAAACAGGGCTGTAGGATAAGAAATGTCTCAAGTATAGAATCTTAAGTCTTGCTTGTTGGAAAGCTAGTTATGGCTTTTGGGATGCTGCCCATGCACTTTCAAAAATCTGTCAATTATCTTGAGGGCTAGGGGGGGAAAAAAACCCTTTTAAAACAACCCAACTGGGAATTGAAATGTTATGGATTGCTGTATTGTATATTCAGTAGTGAAAAGGGCAATACCTGCATTGAATCACATTATGCTGGAATGGCTGCCACAAGCAGCAGTGGGGATTTTTTTCTCCTTAAGATGACAAAAGACTTTGACCCCATGGACCCTAACTAGTTTTTTTCCCCTCCATTTTATTTTGTTCTTTAAAAAAATAAATAAAACTGACCATAATACTGGTGCTCTTGCTCTTGACTGGATTTCATTGGGGAAGAGAACAAAGATTTCAGCTGCTGTTGCTAGACATCCTTTCCACTCCCAAATTTTAAGAGGAGAATTGATTTGGCAGATCTGTTGGACTTCAGCTTGTAGAATCACCCATTCACACATGAACCATGGTTTGTCAAATGAAGCCCAACTAAACCTGCCAAGCCAAAGCCAGATCAACTTCAGAAAGGCTTACTTGCCCAGTTATTTAGGAAATGTGCCCCCTTGCCACCTACCACAGGTGCTTGCTTACAGATGGGCGTTTTTGCAATGGAAGCAGTCTTGTGAATTCTGCATCCCAAATATTGCCCTGCCAGCAAGTATTAATAAAAGGTTGGGGGTTATTGAGTAGATTTCCCCCCCCCCCCCATGGAACGTACCACAGATATAAAGAAAACAAACTGGCAAAAGAATTCATTGATTATATTACCTAGTAGGGTTAATGAGACGTCTGCAAGCAAACAGCCAAACTCAGTATCGTACCAAGGATCCCACAAATCTGATTCCGTTCCCCCTGGATCTTTTTTTTCTCTGCCTTTCGCCCCTATTTTTTTTTAATAACTTTTTTATCCTCGGTGCCGGAGGCTCGCGGCAGAGCAACCACTCTAAATATACTCTGTGACGCTTTTGAAACCCCACCGATCCCGTGTAAGCTTTTACATTTGCATGAAACGGTGGTATTTTTCTGAGTAAACGCACGCGGAGGTGCCACGGCCCCATTAAGCATATGAAAAGCCAAGGATCTCAAAACAAACGAACCCTTTTTAAGTTACATTTCGTATAGGCTGGGCTCTAAATTCCCAAGAACAGCTCTGCCCAGCCAGGGGGGCTGGGGATTATGGGGATCGCGGTCTACCCCATTCGAGAGAGCATCATCAGCTGTCGGATGACGCCCTTCGGATTTGAGTAAACTGCGATCCCCATAATCCCCAGCCCCCGTGGCTTTCGCCGGCTGGAAATGCTGGGAGGTCCAGTCCTAGCAGATCGGGGACAACCGGCTTGGGGAAGAAAGGCCGCTCCGACGCCGCTTCCAAAGGGAGAATCGGGGCATCGGGCACGCCGTGGAAGTTCGGCCTGAAGAGGTCCCGGGAATCTCCGGCGCGCGCCCTCCTCGCTCTTTGTCTGAGCCGGGATGAACCGAGGCGCTGCCCCTTTAAGCGGCTCCCTCCCCCTCCCTCCTTTCTTTGCCCCAGGAGCGTGACGTCAGCGCGGGGCCGGCTCTGCTGCTACCGCCGCGCGAGGCCATGGATGATGTCGGAGCGGGAATCGCTCAGGTTTGGGTCGCGGAGGGAGGGTGGGGGGAGGACGGACCCGGGCGGCGGTGGCGGGAATTGCACGCGACGATCGTGCGAATCGGGCTGAGGAAGCGGCAGGAATTCCCGGGTTTTCCCCGGCCTTGCCGCCTCTTTTTTTTTCCTGGCTCCGTCGGGCGCGCGGGGAGGGGCTGCTTGCTGCGCGCTTAGGAAATGCAAAAAAGGAGGCTGGGTTTTCACCTGGACCGCAGCTGGAGGAGAGGGCGAAGGGGGGGAAAACCCCTTGGCCGGTCAGCTTCTCTGGTGCAAAGAGGAGAAGGGGGAGGTGAGCTCGGGATCCTAGCCGGATCCACCAGGATCGCCACTGTAAGATTTTAGGAATCCGTAAGAATCGGGAATAAGAGGCACACGCTTCCTTTGAAGCTGTGCTAAGTTAGCCCCCTTCGCCCCGTGTCGCCCGATCTTCTCACGACCGATGGCCACGTTTCTTCCTAGCCCAACTTGCAGTCCCGGTGGCGTTTCAGTCCCGCGTGCATCTTTCTCGCGTTAAGGGCCCGCCCCTCTTCTGTCCTCGACCCTCCCCTTGCCCCAGAGGCTGCTCGCCAGTCTCTTTGTTGAAGGTTGGTTAATTCATAGAAAGACCACCTTAGAATGTAAAAGTACAGGTAGTCCTCGACTTATGACCATAACTGAGCCCCAAATTTTATGTTGCAGACTGAGAAATTTGTTAACTGAGTTTTGCCCCATTTTACGATTTTTCTTGCCACCTTTGATAAGTGAATCACTGCTTGGTAATATGGTTAAATGAATCCGTTTTCCCAATTGACTTTGCTGGTCAGAAGTTTGCAAAAGGTGATCACATGACCCCAGGACACTGCAACTGTCATAAATGTGAGTCAATTGTCAAGCATCCAAATGTAGATCACGTGACCATATGGGGGGATGTTGCAGCGGTCATAAGTGTGAAAAATGGTCATAAGTCACTTTTTTCAGTGCTGTTGTAACTTTGAATTGTCACTAAATGAATTATTGTAAGTGGAGGACTACCTGTATTTTACAGATGTTTTCACAGAGTTTCAGTTGATGGCCGTTATTTCTGCTCAACGCAGCATGAACTCTTGCTGATCACATTCACGCAGCTGGTGAAATGAATGACAAAATCTGCCTTTGGGGAAGACACTAAACAAGTGTAGACCAGCTGCATAATGATTTCAAGTCTGCCTTGACAGATCCCTGCAATTTTTTGGGGCAAAATTTCTGAAGTGGTTTATCATTGCTTGTTTCCTTGGGGTGAAAAGAGGGATTGGCCCAAGTCACCCAGCTGGAGTCCACCACCTCTGGGAGAAACCTTTTCCGTTGTTGAATAAATTTTGCCATTAGAGGGTTGTTTTTTTCTGATGCCTAAACAAAATCTACATCCTTGTAATTTCAAATATGCTATTTTTGGCCCTATCTCCTGAAAACAAGATACAACGTTCTTGTCTTTTGCATAATAATTCCTTAAGTATTTGAAGTGTTGTCACAGTCTTCTCTCTGGATTGGTATTCAGTGGGATTTGCCAGTATCCTATTGTCACATCCAAAGGGGAGAGATACTTGTTTCCCCCTAAATCATCCAGAAGTTTGTCCACTCTGGGCATTGGGTAACCATCAGATTTCACCACTCTGATTTTCTGCCTAATATACCCACAAAAGTGTACCTCACCATTCTAATTTGGCACCCAAAAAATGGGAGAGTACCAGTAACCTTGTTGTTGTTAATTGCAAAGTGGTGTCTGACCCATCGCGACCCCATGGACAATGTTCCTCCAGGTCTTCCTGTCCTCTACCATCTTCTGGAGACCAGTCACCTACAGATGGTTTTATTATGTCCATCTGGAGCATTTTTTCTTCTACCTCAGTTTGTAACCCTTTTTTTAGCCATTCAGGAATCCTGTAGGGATATTGTCTGATTGGTGGGGTTTCCCATGAGTCTATCTTGTGTTCAACTAGAAGAGCTGTGATGGTACAGTGGTTAGAATGTAGTATTGCAGACTAACTTGGCATTCCACTGCCTTCCATTCTTCTAAAGTCGATAAAATGAAGACCCAGATTGTTAGGGGCTTCTACCAAGGCTCTTTCTTTCTCTCTCTCTCTCTCTCTCTCTCTCTTCTCTCTCTCTCTCTCTCTCTCTCTCTCTCTCTGTCTCTCAGAGAGAGAGAGAGAGAGAGAATGTGTGTGTATGTATGTACAGTCTGTATGTGTATAGGTGTTTATCTATATCTATCTCTTCATCTATCATGATACATGCAAATGTATAAAAATCACAATAGAAATACAAATTATAACTAAAAGTAAAAGATGAACACGGAAGGCGGGCACCAGGAGATGCTATTAGTTGATCAACTACCTCCAGTTTCATGCTCCCCCATTGGGGTCCCCAGCCTCCTGCAGGCAGTCAGGAGGATGGGAGCCAATCTCACCTCAGGTGCCAAGATATTTCAAAGGACCGGGGCCATGGCAGAGAAGGCCCTTCTCTTGGACCCCACCAGCTGAAATTCCTTGACTGATGGGATCTGCAGCACACCTACTTTGCCACCACCAGTGGGGCAGGCCTGTCCCATATGGGTGGGACAGTTCCTCAAGTAACCTGGATCCTTCTCCATGTCAGTGTGTTTGATGTAAGTTCTGTAAGAGGTCTGGTTTCCTCAGGCAGGATGTTGGCTAATGTTAGCAAAGGCTACAATCTGCAAGGATCAAACAAACTCCCTCCCTTCCTTTTGCACCCTTTTTAAACCAAGGCTTGTTTTCTTTTCATATAGTGCAGGCATGTCAAACTTGCAACGTCAGATGACGTATCGGGACTTTTTCCCCATTGCCAGCAATGGGGTGGGCGTGGTTTCAGCGTGACACATCCGGCCCGTGGGCCAGCAGTTTGACATGCCTGATATAGTGTATTAAATTGCTTGAGTTTCAGCCACCACCACTTGTGTGGTTGCCCCTTTGTGTAGGATAACCCACAGCTGTCACCACTTTGTCACAGGTTCTTTTATCTATAAAAATAGATAAAAATCTATTTATCTAAACCTGTTTTAAAATCCCAGAGTCAGTGGGCTCCTCAAACCCCAGAGCATCCTTGGCCTTTAGGCAAGACACAAACACACACACACACACAAAGAGAGAGAGAGAGAGAGAGAGAGAGTCAATTGGTGATATTCACAGTTCTTTCTCACACACTTGCCCAGGTCTGCTCCTAAGCAACTGAATTGTCCTTTAGCAGTAGGCCTCACAAACTGTAGTAATCTAGTATTACTACTACTACAGTAGTAATAGATTACTGCAGTTTGTGAGGCTTATTACTAAAGGACAATATTAATGTCTGTTAGCCCTAGGCTGCTTCCCATTGCTTTATTTCTACAAAGAAACCATCTTCCCTTTCAGAACAACTCCAACACTACCACACTCCACTGGTTTTTTTTCTCCTACTCAGCTTTTATAGGGTTTGTGTAGTTGCTTGTTACTGGGCAGCTGGGCTGGCTAGGGAAAGGTCTTTAAGGGAGGGGGTCCCATCAGCCCAGATGCTAGCCACTTTAAAGGCAGCCTGTCGTTTCATAAGTATGTTTCCACCATTTTCTCCAGGTTAAGCCTGGCTAAATGGCTAAGTGCCTCTCAACTTTAGCCACTTTAAGATGTGTGGACTTCAACTCCCAGAATTCCCTGCTTTTTGTAGATTCAGGCTATGGTCATCCATTATTTTCTGAAGTGGAAGCCAGAGCAATATTTCTCAACCTTGGCAACTTTTAAGATAGTGTCTGTGGAGATTCTCAGTCCTCCAGGTCATGGTTGTCTCAAAGGTGCTTTTTTAAAAGGCAGCTGGACTTTGATTTTTTTTATCTTGAGGAAAAGATATGACTCATTTCCAGAGTTCCCTATGATGGTGGCTAGGGAATCCTAGGAGTTGAAGTCCACACATCATAAAATTGCTAAGGTTGAGAAATACTGTGCCAGAGAAATAAAAATTGGTAAGAAACTTAGAACCATCTATGATTTGTAGAACGTAGTTCTGCTTGTGGATCTAGAGCCAGCAATAACTGTAAGCTTTTATTTAGAGTCTGTGGTAGTCAGTGGCATCTGCCATAAGCTGCCATGATACCAGAATGAAAATTCTTACTCAGTTGTCCATACTCTTATGTGCAAAGCACAATCAAAGAAGCAAGATTCAGTTAGATTTTTTAAAATGAGTTTTGATGCCAAGAATTAGGGTATTCCACCCCTTCTTTATGAATGAAATTAGGTTTCCTAGAAGCTTGTGAATTTCTTTCCCAGAATGGTTGCACAATGGGTTAAGAATCCTATTTCCTATGCCTTTAAGAGGATTTGTGTTCAGATATGCTCCTCCATTTTTTTTTCAGTCCTAGCCCAATCTCTCATTGTGATGTCATCAAGCAGCTGCTACCATCACCTATTTGCACCCTGACATTGAATACAAACTACAGTTGTAATTTATGGGGCCCTTGGTGTTTTCTGAGTTTGCTTGCTTGCTTGCAAATGTTTCGTGCAACTGGGAAGCATCATCAATGCAAGTGAACATTGGGCTTTGCTCCCTATACAGCCATTTGCCCGGCCAATAGTGGTGGTGATGTATTGTTTAAAACAGAAGCAGGAAGCACAAGACAATGCCTTAATTAAGGAACTAATAAGGAGAAAATCACATCCCCACCAACATTGGCACAGCAAGTAACTGTATATAAACAGGAAGCAAAGCCCACACTCCCTAGCTCTGACGTTGTTATCTAAGATGATTGGGAAGATCACAAATGACATGACCTCGAGACACTGCAACCATAAATACATACGAGTTGCCAAGCACCTGAATTTTTAATCACACGAGAATGGGGACATTGCAAAGGTTGTAACTGCAGTCATAAGCTACTTTCTTCTGCTGTTATAATTTCAAACTGTCTCTAATAAAATGTTTTTAAGTCAAGTATTTTAGGAGACTCTTTATTATCCTCACAATTTAGAAGCAACCAAAGAGCTGTGATGGATCTTTTGACTTAAAACTCAATAGGGCAAAATGGAAAGGACCCAAATAAAGCTATCCAGACTACCTGTATTGTTATAGGGTTGAATTGATAGAACAGGTGAATAGAGCTTAGGTAACAGGTGAATAGAGCTTAGGTAATTTCATTGGCTAGAGGGAAGAAGGCTTGAATCTAACATATTTCATTCCTCTGAGGGAAATGGGTCAAAAGAATTCTAACACCTTACCTCAGGTTGGAGAGAAATTAAGGGAGAAAAAAAAACTCATATTTTTGCTGAGGGAGAAGGAGTTGCATCTGAGAGCTTGCTTAGCATAGAATGCATTGAGAAAGTTGTTTTCAGTTGCTCGAGTGTGCATTGCATGCTAGCCTACAATTCAATCATGATTTTTAAATTATGTCACAGTTTAGGATTGTGCAGAATTTTATAAGCTAAAAACTGTGGTGGTTGTTCCTATAACATAACTAAACCATGACCAGTCAAGGACACAATAGCTTAGTGAGCTTTGTGACTTATATCTCTAATATATAAGGAAATGTTGAATGGAGGTTGGTTGATTATTGGGGGATTTTTAAATAGCTGAGACTCAAGTCTGATTATAATTAATCTATCACCATGCTTTCCCACAATAGTAGATAGCATGCTTGTGATTGGAAGCAAAATATAAATAATATGGATATGTGTATAAATTAGCATTTTAAAGATAACAGCATGTTAGTTTTGAAATAAAAGCTACGTTCTCCTTCAACCCATTTCAGAACCCTAAAAATACATCTAATATTTCAACCCCATCAACTTGGGTGGTCTGGAGAAGTCATTAATGGCCAGGTACAGGCTGACAGTTATCTCCTCTGCAATGAACCATGATGAAATAATCCATGATTAGTATTTCCTGTAAGTCCAGGTAAACATTTGCAAACTAATCTCAATTTGAGTTTTGAATTGCTGTTTCTTTTTCCTCCTCAGGATGACGCCCATCAGGGATTAGCAGGGCCTTCAGCTCTGGGGGAAGCTGAAGCAGGCGAAATAGGTAAGTTTTATGGCGGTCCAAAATTAGAAGTTGGGGAAAGTGCTGCTTTCCTCTGCAGCCCTGATTTGAACCCCATTGACTCCAGAACCCACTTGGACCCTAAGAGGCTGTGTCTATGTCTCTCTCAAGATCCTGAACCCTCCAGAGAGGACTTGGAGCTCTCCTCGGAGGCGTCTCCTCGGAGGGCCAAAAGCACATTGGGAGGAGTAGGCGATAGCCTCTTGGCCTCCGGCAGAAATGGAGATGATGGAGTCTGGACACAAGCGACTGGGAGTGGAAAAGAAGGAGGATGTATGTCTCCAGAATCAGGAGGCCCCTTGGCTAGCTCAAGCCCTAGTCCTACCCCAGGGAGCAAAGGCCTACCAGGTGAGTCGGGAAGGGGATTGGTGCCTGGGGAGCATGTCAATAGGAAGGTGGTTTTCCTTTGTAGAAAAAAAAAACCAAGGATTCTCTGGATGACTTTTTTGGCAGGATTATGGTGAGGAGACCTGTAAGGCTGTGGTTGGGTGAGTTCTGTTGGGTGATGTACTATTTTGCATCTCTATTCCCTGGCTGGTGTTGCAGCGGTTGCCGTCTAATTTAGAAGCTTCCTAATAGTGGTTCTCAACCTGTGGGTCAGGACCCCATTTGGGGTCGAACGACCATTTCACGGGGGTCGCCAAACAACGCAGTCCGCCATTTTCCCCCCCTTTTCCTTAGCTGTGCTACTCCCTTTTATTCTATTGGCTTTTGAAAGCCAATAGAATAGACTCTCTTGAATAGAGTCTAATTCTATTGGCTTTCAAAAGCCAATAGGAATTGTCCAGGCTGTCTCTGCCCTGCTGAGCCCGCCAAAAGTCCCATTCTGCAAACGGTGCTGCACCAGTTGAGTAGTCCTCGACTTACGACCGGTTGAGTAGTCCTCGATTTACGACTGGTTGGGGGTCGCGGCATTAAAAAGGTTGAGAACCACTGCCTAGACTGAAAATTGGGTATCATATGTTAAGAGGTTGTTTTAGACCAGGGGTAGGCAACTTTGGCTCTTTTATGACTTGTGGACTCCAACTCCCAGAATTCCTGAGCCAGCCATGCTGAGGGGAAAGGGAGAGGTTTCCAAGCTGAGCCATGCTGGCTCAGGAATTCTGGGAGTTGAAGTCCACGAGTCATAAAAGAGCCGAGGTTGCCTACCCCTGTTTTAGACCAACGGGGTCCAGATATAAGTCTGCTCTCAGCTACATACAGTAGTGGCCAAAATTGTGGAAACCTCTCGGGAAAAGTGTATTTTTGAGGTTTGATGGCTAATAACACCACTTTTTCTTTTGGAGTAATACCATAAAATTATATATCAATGGAAAGAAAATTTAATCAAGAATGCAATGCAACAAAGTTTGTTCAATTATCTGTACTGTATTCTATGAAAAGGTGTAGCCAAATAACCAGAAAAAGGAAGCACAAACTTGCTTAGATTGATATCAGGTAGCTTTCCTTCACCTGATTGTAGCCAATGAGCATGGGTGTTTAGAGAGCCAATCGGGTATCATCTTGTTTTGGCAATGAGCCAATCAGATCACAGTAGGATTCAGTTATTGATGTCAGGTATTGAAGCTGAGAGGAGGACATTTGTCAGTGTGTTATGTGATCGCTATCAAGTTGGTTGGGTTTTTTTGTGTTCTTTCATTTAGTGAGCTTGTAAAACGTAATAAAATTAAAGTAATGGTGCAAAGAGTTGACTGGTTGCCCTGAAAACGATTTAAAATAGTATTATTTAGTGAACAAGGCTACAGTTATCAAGAAATTAGAAGAAAAATTGGTGGAAACTTAACCAAAGGTGGCATTTCCACTGTACACTTTTCCCAAAAGGTTTCCACAATTTTGGCCACTACTGTATTTACATATTTTTTATTTATACATAGTTAATATTATTTGTAGCCTGACCCAGCCAGGAAGGAATCTGGAGGGGAAGGCACAGTAACACAAGAAATAAAGATTGTTAGGGAAAAAACCCCAATGTAGTCAATCCAATTGGAAATGTCTGTGATGGACCACCTGCAGTCAAATAATCTAGAGCCGAAGTCTTGTTGAAGAAGATTGGTTTTACTAGTTCACAAACGGCAATAGGAGAGGCATTTTGTGTAGAACTGTCATGTGGCTTTTTGGTATCTCCATCTTGGCTACATTCATGTATTCTAGACTGGGTATCCTAATGTCTCATCCCCTTCTCTTCAGGTCATGCAGCCAAGACTTTCCCATCATCCCCCAGCAAAACAGCTGGGCCCAGCCGAGCCAAGATGTCCCTTACTGGGACCAGCAAGTCCCCAGCTTCTATCCAGAGTCTGGCTATGCGCTTACTAACTATGCCTGGATCACGTCTTCCAGGTGATTCTGGGTCTCCTACAGCAGAAGCCCCAGCTGCGGTTCCAGACCCAGATTCGGCCCCCACTCCTGCTCCAGCAGTGGCCTCTCCTCCTGCTCAGCCTTCAGCATCAACCACTGAGGAAGTCAAGCCCAAGGTTCACCGGGCTCGGAAAACAATGTCAAAGCCCAGCAGTGTACAGGTAGGCTTGCAAATATAGCTTCTGCCCAGGGAGGTGATTCAGAAGATTGGTTGGTTGATTGTGCATACCAGTGTTTCTCAGTGTTGGCAGCTTTAAGATGTGTGGACTTCAATTCTCAAGAGTTCCTCAGCCAGCTTGCTAACTGAGGAATTCTGGGATTTGAAATCCACACATCTTTAAAGTTGCCAAGGTCGAGAAACATTGACGTGCAATGCTGTTTTGGCTACACAGAGAGATGTACTTGGAGATTGGGTTGTCTTTGCTGACAATGATAATAATAATAATGATAAAGTTGGAAGGGACCTTGGAGGTCATCTAGTCCAACCCCCTGCTCAGGCAGGAAACCCTATACCATTTTGGACAAATGGCTGTCCAGTTTCTTCTTAAAAACTTCCAGTGTTGGAGCATTCACCGCTTTGGAGGCAGGTTGTTCCACTGGTTAATTGTTCTAACTGTCAGGAAGTTTCTCCTTCGTTCTAGATTGCTTCTCTCCTTGGTTAGATTCCATCCGTTACTGCTTGTCCTGCCTTCAGGCGCTTTGGAGAATAGCTTGACTCCCTCTTCTTTGGGGCAGCCCCTGAGATGTTGGAACACTGCTATCATGTCCCCCCTCGTCCTTCTCTTCATTAAACTAGACATACCCAATTCCAGCAACCGTTTCTTATATGTTTTAGCCTCCAGTTCCCTAATCATCTTTGTTGCTCTTCTCTGTACTCTTTCTAGAGTCTCAACATCTTTTTTACATTGTGGTGACCAAAACTGGATGCAGTATTCCAAGTGTGGCTTTACCAAGGCATTGTAAAGTGGTATTAAGACTTTGCGTGATCTTGATTCTATCCCTCTGTTAATGCAGCCTAGGACTGTGTTGGCTTTTTTGGCAGCTGCAGCACACTCCTGGCTCATATTTAATAATAATAATAATAAAGTTGGAAGGGACCTTGGAAGTCATCTAGTCCAACCCCCGCTCAGGCAGGAAACCCTATACCATTTTGGACAAATGGCTGTTCAGTTTCTTTTTAAACACTTCCAGTGTTGGAGCATTCATCGCTTCTGAAGGCAGGTTGTTTCACTAGTTAATTGTTCTAACTGTCAGGAAGTTTCTCCTTAGTTCTAGGTTGCTTCTCTACTTGATCAATTTCCATCCGTTGCTTCTCATCCTGCCTTCAGGCACCTTGGAGAATAGCTTGACTCCCTCTTCTTTGTGGCAGCCCCTGAGATATTGGAACACTGCTATCATGTCCCCCCTCGTCCTTCTCTTCATTAAACTAGACATACCCAATTCCAGCAGCCGTTCCTTATATGTTTTAGCCTCCAGTCCCCTAATCATCTTTGTTGCTCTAATAATTTATAGCTATAGATTATCTCAGCAAGGCATTCATTAAACAACTGGGTCCAGAGAAGTTCCCATATCGCCGTGGAAGTTAACCAATGATGACGAATCTTTACATAATGAAGAACAACTTTTGCAAAACCAATTAATATACATATAATCCCACTTTGCCTTTAGGCTGTAGAATTAATGTGCATCTTATGATTAATTTCAGTAGCTGAACATCATGGATTCTTATTCATGCATTAGATTTTTATCCCATCTTTATTATTTTATAAGTAACTCAAGGTGGTGATCATACCTAATACTCCTTTCATCTCCTCTTTTTCCCCACAACAACAACCCTGTGAGTTGAATTGGGCTGAAAGAGAGTTTCTGGCCCAACATCATCCAGATGGCTTTCACGCCTAAGATGGAACTAGAATTCACAGCACCTTAATCTTTATACCAAGCTGGCTCTCCCTCAAATCACCAAGAGATGCTTTTCAGTGTGTAAATATTTCTTTTGTCTAGAAGATTTGGTGGTTTACACCCTTGAAGTGATCACAGTACTTCTTGCAAGACAAAAGTGGATTGTATTTTTCCCCAAGGGGGGAACTTACAAACTTTTTGTTTCTTCCAACAACTGATAGCACAACTGGGAGAATTAGCAGCGCAACTTAACATTAATGTATAGCTGATCAAAAGCTGTCTAGGAAGCTCCTTATCTGTCCATCCAACCTGGTTGTGACACGGCTGCACATCAAGACACATTTCCTCATTTCTTTTTTCTAACCTTTCTGTAAACTCAAATACATAGTACTATGTCTTCAGTGAATATTGGATTTCTTTTCTTTGTAACCAACAAAATTACAATTGCTTTTGATGCCCAAGAATGACTAATTTTGGAAAAGGATAGGATAGGATAGAAATAGGATAGGATAGGATAGGATAGGATAGGATAGGATAGAACAGAACAGAACAGAACAGAACAGAACAGAACAGAACAGAATAGAATAGAATAGAATAGAATAGAATAGAATAGAATAGAATAGAATAGAATTGGAAGAGACCTTGGAGATCTTCTAGTCCAGTGTTTCTCAACCTTGACAATTTTAAGGCATGTGGACTTCAACTCCCAGAATTCCACAGCCAGCATTGCTGGCTGTGGAATTCTGGGAGTTGAAGTCCACATGCCTTAAAATTGTCAAGGTTGAGAAACACTGTTCTAATCCAATCTCCTGCTTGGGCAGGAAACCCTATACCCATGGTAGCGAACCTATGCATGCGTGCCACAGGTGGCACATGGAGCCGTCTCTGGTGGCACGCGAGCCATTGCTGGGCCGAGCTGTTCCCTCCTCCTCTCCGTGCATGCGCAGCTCTCCGCACATGCACAGTCTGGGAATAGGCGAGAGGCTATAAAACAGTGGTTCTCAACCTGTGGGTCGGGACCCCATTTGGGGTCGAATGACCATTTCACAGGGGTCGCCAAACAACGCAGTCCGCCATTTTTCCCCCCTTTTCCTTAGCTGTGCTACTCCCTTTTATTCTATTGGCTTTTGAAAGCCAATAGAATAGACTCTTGAATAGAGTCTAATTCTATTGGCTTTCAAAAGCCAATAGGAATTGTCCAGGCTGTCTCTGCCCTGCTGAGCCCGCCAAAAGTCCCATTCTGCTAACAGTGCGGCAGCAGTTGAGTAGTCCTCGACTTACAACCGGTTGAGTAGTCCTCGACTTACGACCGGTTGGGGGTCACGGCATTAAAAAGGTTGAGAACCCCTGTATAAAAGGAGCAACTTTCAGCGGAAGCAGCATTTGCTGCAGACAGTGAGCGAGTGAGCGAGCACAAGTTGGAGCGGACAGCGAGTGAGCGAGCACGAGCTGACAGCTCAGGGGCCACGCCCACTTGGTGGCCACGCCCACCCGGCACCCGGCGATGCATAAGTGGGTTTTGGGTTGCAGTTTGGGCACTCAGTCTCTAAAAGGTTCGCCACCACTGCCCTATACCAGTTCAGACAAATAGATCATCTGGTTTGGGATCTTTTTATATGGCGTCTTCCAGCTGGATAGGACTATGATTTCCATTACCCTAAATGGCCACCCTAGAGATATGGACACGATAGTCCTACATATCTGGTTGGTTCTAGGCTGGAGAAGCTGGCTGTGGAATTCTGGGAGATGAAGTCCACTTTTCTTAAAGGGGCCAAGGTTGAGAAACACTGTTATAGGCCCAAACAGGGATTCGGAATTGTTTTTCTACACAGCTGCAAAATTCCGTTCTGCGAAATATTTGGGCTTGCATGATCATCTTTTTTTCTATTGTATTTCTGCATCGCATGAGATTTCTGCTAATGCAAATTGATGGGGCTATATCTAAAAAAAATGAAATCCTCGCTGAACGGATAATCGGCCTTCCTTTTCTCCTTCCCCCAAGGTGCCTGAAAAAAGGGTCTCGGAGATGTTGCATTTCCGTGTCTCGGATGACTTGAGAAGCCTCATAGAACCAGGTACGGAGGCCTTGGATTTTAGAAGGGCTGGTATAGAAATATATTTGGGACTCAAAGTATTGTCTAGAGCAGATTCCTCAACCTAGTCTTCTACGCCTGCTGGAGATTCTGGGAGTTGTAGTCCCGTCACTGGGGGGGGGGAGGGGGTTGTTATGTCTACTGGATTCTAATTTCATTCTTTTTCCTTCTCTTTCTAAAGAAGAACCTGCGAAGCACAGGAAATACGATTACATGGCAGATGCGTTGCACAAAAGGATTCCCCTCTCACTTCAGCGGTCAAGTCCCAGGGCTACCACAGAGGTGCGTCCCTTCCTTTGAAAGGCTTAGTGCAGGGGTCTTCAAACTTGGCCCTTTTATGACTTGACTTCAACTCCCAGAATTCCTCAGCCAGCGTGCCTGGCTGAGGAATTCTGGGAGTTGAAGTCCACCAGTCATAAAAGGGCCAATTTTGAAGACCCCTGAGATAGAGGAAATAGAGGCACGGAATGGGACAATTCGCCTCAGCCAATTCGCTGCAGGACAATTCCAACAATTTAATTTACTTCGTTAAAATAATTTTCAAAATAAATTTAATTTTTGCCATTTACATTTTATTTTGTCCCTCCTTTGGCATCCTTTCTTTCATGATTCTAGGGCAGTGGTTCTCAACCTTTCTAATGCCGCGACCCCATAATACAGTTCCCCATGTTGTGGTGACCCCCAACCACTTATACATCACCGGGTGCCAGGGGCGTAGCCAAAGAAAAGGGGGAAAAAATGGCGGACAGCCTTGTTTGGTGACCCCCATGAAATGGTCGTTCGACCCCAAATGGGGTCCCGACCCACAGGTTGAGAACCACTGTTCTAGGGGGACTATTGGTGTGAGTCTTATCCTGCGGCAAGCTGTTCTGCAGCGAGTTGGCCATGGCGAGTTGTCATAGACCAGGGGTCTTCAAACTTGGCCCTTTTATGACTTGTGGACTTCAAGGAATTCTGGAAGTTGAAGTCCACAAGTCATAAAAGGGCCAAGTTTGAAGACCCCTGGCTTAGTGCTTTTCCTAAGGACCAAGGGTTGAGTTTAAGGACCACCTACCTATTGGATTAAAGGACTTATCTGCATGAGTGATAATGTATTTCAAACTGTGTCTTAATTGAATAAAGAGCAGGAGCATCGGGAAGAAGAGAGAAAAGCTCACTGATTTTAAGGCGATGCAGAGATGCATCTCAGGAAAAATTGTAGGAAACGTATCGGCAGATCCGGGTGTTAAAATTGTCTAAGGAAGCCCTGATAGTAACTGGGAAAGGTAAACCTGCTGATGATACAGGTAGTCCTCGACTTACAACAGTCCATTTAGCGACTGGTCAAAATTACAACAGCACTGAAAAAGGTGACTGAAGACCATTCTTCGCACTTAACGACCGTTGCAGCGTCCCCATGATCACGTGATCAAAATTCAGACTTTTGGCCACTGACTCATATTTATGATGGTTTCAGTGTTGTGGGGTCATGTGATCATCTTTTGGGGCCGTGACAAGCCATGTCAATGGGGAAGCCAGAATCACTTAACAACCATGTTACTAACTTAACAACAGCAGTGATTCACTAAACAACAGTGGCAAGAAAAGTCATAAAATGAGGCCCAATTCACTTAACAACTATCTCGCAGCCACAGAAATTTTGGGCTCAATTGTGGTCGTACGTTGAGGACGTACGTGCTGTACTTTATTTGTAAACTTGAAAAATTAAAATGAATGCACTACGCTGTGAAATAAGGCTGGCTTCCTGGCAAGGGGAATTCTGGGAGTTGAAGTCCACCCATCTTTTAAAAGTTGCTGAGTTTGCGAAACATTTTCAGAGTTGTTCTCCTGCGCGTCTTTATTTTGCACGACTTTGGTGCCAGCCTTTGAGAAGTAACTCCTACAGTAGAAAAGCAAAAAGCATCTCCTCCTTCTTATGTAACCCTAACTGCAGTCTTTAGCAACGCCACATCTCACATAAAAACAATCCTTCATCAGTTTTTAATGAAAGCCCCTCCTTTGCCACAGATTACAGTGACGGAAGAGATGACGGCTCCAGCTACAGCCTCGCAGGAGGATGGAGGCCAGGAATGGGAGACCGAAGTGGGCGATGACTTCAGCCTCTTCTATGACAGCTACTCTGTGGATGGCCACATCGATTCGGACAGCAAGGTAGGAAGAGTAAGATGGTGCACGTCTGACTCAACTCAGGTGTTTCTCAAGCTTGGCAAGTTGACTTCAACTCCCAGAATTCCCCAGCCAAGCTTGAGAAACACTTTATTAATCCCTTCAGTGTATGGCTGTGAAAGTTGGACCATAAGAAAGGCTGAGCGCCAAAGAATTGAGGCCTTTGAATTATGGTGCTGGAGAAGACTCCTGCGAGTCCCTTGGACTGCAAGGCGTTCAAACCGGTCAGTCCTAGAAGAGATCAACCCCGACTGCTCTTTAGAAGGACAGATCCTGAAGTTGAAACTCAAATACTTTGGCCACCTAATGAGAAGGAAGGACTCACTGGAGAAGGGCCTAATGCTGGGAAAGATTGAGGGCAATAGAAGAAAGGGACGACAGAGAATGAGGTGGCTGGAGGGAGTCACTGAAGCAGTAGGTGTGAACTTAAATGGACTCTGGAAAATGGTAAAGGACAGGAAGACCTGGAGGAACGTTGTCCATGGGGTCGCGATGGGTCGGACACGACTTCGCAATTAACAACAACAACAAAATCCCTTCAGACTCATTCAAGGAGTTTAGCATGGGGCAACTTACTGAAAAATGTAACCCCTTTGTGCAACTGCCAGGGTCGGGCTTTTTGTAACCCAGCCCAGGGTGCTGAGGCTTCTCTTGGATTTGGGAGGGGTCCTTTAAATTTCCCAGAATGCCGTTGCGTTAAAGGCATTGTGGAGAATTACAGTGATTCCTTTTGCCCGCTGGTGCTTCCTCTCCAGCTAGACAAGCCCTTCCCTTATCTTGTGGTTTCTTGGTACAGTCAGCCAGATGTTCAGACTGGATTTGACAATTTTGTCCACCTATTGAGTCCTTCCCCAAGGACCTAGGATAGGCAGATGTGGATGTTTGATGATGATACGGATACTGTCTCTGGTTGTAAGCTGTTCATATTTATTATTATGAGATTTATAGCCTGCCTTTCACGCCATTCCAGTTGGTGCATCCACCTCCTATTTTCCCCACAACAACAACAACAATGTGAAGTTTGTTGGGCGGGGAGAAAGAGACTCAGCCCCAAATCATCCAGCTGGCTTTTGTGCATCAGGGAATACAAGAACTCACGGTCTCCCAGTTTCTAGTCCAGCACCTGAACTAGATCAAATTACAGGTGGTCTTTGCTTAGTGACCACTCATTCAGTGGCCATTCAAACTTATGAAGCTATGAACAAGTAGCCTGGTCCTCAGACTCTGGCTGTCAGGTCCCCCTTTCTGGTGTCTTGCCATTCTGTTGCGGAGGGGGGGAAGAGGAGGCACTTTTTCAGTAACAGCATGGGAATTAGAGAGGGGGATCATCTTCGGAGACGAGACAGATTCCCTCCTGGCCGGTTCCAGCCTGACTCCAAGGTTGCTGCACCTTGAGGATGACCCATTATCAGACTGGTACCTCAGCATTCTCAAAACAACCTTGCAGCAATATATTGACTGCCGGTGGTCGGGGTGAGGGGGTGGGGTGGGTTTTGGAATGGAAAGAATTACTTTGTGCTTTGCGCAGGACTGTTAGATTCCTCCTGACTTTACTGCAATCCCTTTCTCTCAGTAAAAGTTCTTTTGATGAGTCCTATGGAGTCAAGAGTCATGCTTTCCTGAGAAGACCAGCTGGGGCAGGTCCTTACACTGGCTGTCACAGTGTCCCTACTGTTATGATTTGCTTAACTATAGCTGTCACTAAGCAGCACCGTCATGTGTGTTATGATGATGTTGCTTAGCGATGGCTAATAATAATAGTAGTAGTAATAGTAGTAGTAGTAGTAGTAGTAGTAGTAGTAGTAGTAGCAGCAGCAGCAGCTTCCATCCTGCGACGATATCTAATACCATCAAACATCCACATCTGCCTATCCCAGGTCCTGGGTAAGGACTCGATAGGTAGACAAAATGCCAAAATGCCAAATCCAATCTGAACATCTGGCTGACTGTGCAATGATCAATAATAAAAAATACAAAGACCTACAAATAGAAATAGAAAGACTGTGGCAAAAGCAAGCAAGGGTAGTACCAATAGTGATAGGCTCCTTGGGTGCAATCCCAAAACAACTGGAGCACCACTTGAACATCATTGGCATTGACAAATTTGCCATTAGTCAATTGCAAAAGGCGGTCTTACTAGGAACTGCTTCCATCCTGCGACGATACCTGTAATACCATCAAACATCCACATCTGCCTATCCCAGGTCCTGGGTAAGGACTCGATAGGTAGACAAAATGCCAAATCCAGTCTGAACATCTGGCTGATTGTGCGATGATCATCAGTAGTAGTAGTAGTAGTAGTAGTAGTAGTAGTAGTAGTAGTAGTAGTAGTAGTAGTAGTAAAGTTGGGAGGGACCTTGGAGGTCATCTAGTCCAACCCCCTGCTCAGGCAGGAAACCCTATACCATTTCGGACAAATAGCTGTCCAGTCTCTTCTTAAAAACTTCCAGTGCTGGAGCATTCACCGCTTCTGGAGGCAGGTTGTTCCACTGGTTAATTGTTCTAACTATCAGGAAGTTTCTCCTTAGCTCGAGGTTGCTTCTCTCCTTGATTAGTTTCCACCCGTTGCTTCTTGTCCTGCCTTCAGGCTCCAGTCCCAATTGTTGTCGTTAACTGAGGACCAGGTGCTTAAGAGATCCCTTATAGAGAAACAAAATATTGCAGGGACTCCCTTACAGAGCTATATGGGACCTCTTTTAAAAGTTTGAAATTCCAACTCTGGATACATGTTTTGTATCTCTTTCCCTTCTGTTTCTGTTTTTTTTTTTTGTGAAAAATGTCAGTAGACCTGGGAAATTCCCCCCCCCCCCCCAAAGATTAGATACCTGTGCCATTGTCCAATCAGACAGAGTAATCTGAAAGATGATTTCAGTGGTCTGAATAAATTTTGCAAAACGAGACCTGTACAATTTCTTATTTTGGATATTTTATTTTGCCCCCTCCTTGGAACAGGGAGGAGATATACTAGTGAACCCGAAGCAGATCCCTTGCAGATTCAATTTAGCGCCCTTTGACTTTAGAGATGTCAAAGGGCTTTGTTCATGGGTTTCTCTATTAAAGTTGCAATCAGGAGGATTCAAATCTTATTGTGGAAAGAAACATGGAGATCTTATAACAGAGGTCCCCAACCTTTTAAGTACCAGGGACCGGTTCCATGGAGAGAGGTTTTTCTGCAGACCGGAAGGGGCGTGGTTTCATGTACTTCCTGCATCCCGTGGATGGGGCTTTGCTTGTTTGCACGGACCGGTTTCTGACTTGCCGTGGCCCGGTGCCAGTCCACGGACTGGGGGTTGAGGATCTCTGTCTTAGAAGACTACATTGCAACATTCAGTGTTTGTTTTTTCTTAGTTTTCCCCTCATGTCATAAATAACAATGTTGAGCTTAATGTGGCATTTAACGAACAGCTATTCCTTTAGGAAAACAGCTGGTTAGGTATACCTTCAGAATATTTATCACTTGTATTACATTAAGAGATGGAATATATGTGAAAATATTAGAATGTTATTCTTGGAATATTCTGTGTGTTGTAGAAGGGATACCCAGAATTTTATTAATATGTTGGTTTAAAATTAATTGGAATATTTTAATTGAAATTAGTGGAGCTTAAAAGCAGGAGTGATTTATGTAGATGTAACAGTAGGGATGCTTCCGTGGATTGATTGAATTTTAAGAAGAAATAGATTAAACTAAATTTGTTATATCGTGTGAGGAAATAGAGGGGGGAATTTTTTTTCTTTTTTTAAGGTATTAATTTTAGTTTTATATATATGTGACTTGTTTTGCTGTGATTGATCACCCTTTCACCACGGTGTTTTCCTGAGCACTTTGATGTTAAAATTAAAAAAACAATAAAATGTGTATTTAAAAAAAAAAATTTATCACTGAAAGATTATTCTAGATTTTTTTTTTTTTTTTTTTGGTCCTTATGTAGGACATTCCATCAGGATAAGAAGACTTGATAGGAGCTCTGGCTGGAACTGAAAGCAGGATTTCCAATTTTACTTTTCTTTTCTCCTCATGTTTTAATTAAACTCATTTATTTTGGTTACAGTCTGATGTAGATGTTACTGGAGAACATATGAGTGAGGAAGAGGAAGAAGAAGAGGAGGAGGAGGAAGAGGAGGAAGAAGAAGAGGAAGAAGATGAAGAGGAAGAAGACGAAGACGACGAGGAAGAGTCAGGAAACATCTCTGATAGGGTGAGTGGGCACTCATCTGGGTCGGATAGGGATTTATTCTCGGAGACCCCCTCGGTTTATTTATTTGTAAGATTTCTGATAATCACTTTGTGGAATTCAGACCTGCTACTTCTAATGCACAGATGTTAATATTTTGATACATTGGGCCCATTTTGGTTTAGAGCAGGGGTAGGCAACCTTGGCTCTTTTATGACTCGTGGACTTCAACTCCCAGAATTCCTGAGCCAGCCATGCTGAGGGGAAAGGGAGAGGTTTCCAAGCTGAGCCATGCTGGCTCAGGAATTCTGGGAGTTGAAGTCCACGAGTCATAAAAGAGCCAAGGTTGCCTACCCTTGGTATAGAAGTCTCTTGTTTTATATTAGTGCTACAATTAATTGCAGTATCTAATTCTGTCAATTGCTACTTCTTTTTATGTCCACCATGCTTGGTTACAAGTTGATAAGTATTGCTACTAAATGTCTATGGAGATTCTCAGTCATCCAGGTCATGGTTGTCCCAAAGGTACTTTGTTTTTGTTTTTTGTTTTCCCTTGAAGACATTTTGCTTCTCATCCAAGAACTAAAGAAGCTTCTTGAATGAGAAGCGAAACCTCTTCAAGGAAAAACAAAATCCAAGTTGCCTTTTGTGGGGGGGGGAAAGCACCTTTGGGATATTACTACTAAACTCCTAATTTGTACTCTCGGGCCCAAAAGCGCAAGACCTGCTTGCAGCTTTCAAGCAAGAGTTGCCCACCTCTGATTTGTCGCTCAGCCACATGTACAGGTAATCCTCGACTTAGGACCACAATCGGAACCTCCATCATTAAGTGATGTAGTCCTTAAGCGAGTGACGCTTCGCTTTACGACCTGTCAGAGCATGCACAGTCTTATTGTGCTGAGGTAACCCAGGAGTAAATGCAGTACACAGTGGTTTGTATCAGATGTGGTTTATATTACACTATATCTACAAATATACACTAGAAATAAAATACATACACGTGGTGAGACAGCAACTCCAATGCACAGCCGTTAACAGCAGTCAAACGGACGCGTTTTTCTCTCTAAAAACTCCAGTAAAAAACTCGCCTTTTATACTCAACCTCTGAAAGGCACAGGCCCTGCTGAGTCATTCCTACTATTGCATCATCCTATCATTGCATCATTCACATTACATTACATCTTTACATAAGCTGTTTAGCTGTTAAATTATTATCCTGACACGACCATTTTTACCCTGTCGTTAAGCAAATCATCACATTGTTAACTGAATCACATCGTCATTCTGGCTTCCCTCCTTGACTTTACTTGTTGGAATACCATGCAATATTGCAGACTGCCCACGGTCGGCAGTTCGATCTGGCTCAAAGTTGACTCGGCCTTCCGAGGTCAATAAGATGAGGACCCAGATTGTTGGGAGATGATATGCTGACTCTGTAAACCACTTAAAGAATGCTGTAAAGCACTGTGAAGCGGTATAAAAGTCTAAGTGCTATTGCTATTGCTATAAATGGTGACCCTAGAACAGGGGTTGGCAACCTTGGCTCTTTTATGACTCGTGGACTTCAACTCCCAGAATTCCTGAGCCAGCCACGCTGAGGGGGAAAGGAGAGGTTTTCAAGCTGAGCCATGCTGGCTCAGGAATTCTGAGGGTTGAAGTCCACGAATCATAAAAGATCCAAGGTTGCCTACCCCTGGACTAGAACATTGCAACTGTCATAAATACATGGTGGTTGCCAAGCACTCAATTTTGATCATGTGACCACAAGGATGCAGTGACAGTCATAAGTGCAAGGACCAGGCATAAGTCACTTTTTCAACACCATGGCATCTTTGGTTCTTAAATGAAGGGTCATAAGTTGAGGACTGCCTATAATTCTAACAGGAAGTTGGCTTGTAATAGATTAGGCTCTTTACCTATTTAGACCAAGATCCATGCAGTAGCCTCCTGTAGACAGACCCATTGTGTCATGGTTCCGACTGATGAAACTCTTCAAAGAACTTCGAAGCATTGTTTACCTTAAAGCAGTGGTTCTCAACCTGTGGGTCGGGACCCCATTTGGGGTCGAACGACCATTTCATGGGGGTCCCAAACAAGGCTGTCCGCCATTTTTCCCCCCTTTTCTTTGGCCACGCCCCTGGCACCCGGTGATGTATAAGTGGCTGGGGGTCACCACAACATGGGGAACTGTATTATGGGGTCGCGGCATTAGAAAGGTTGAGAACCACTGCCTTAAAGAATCTTGTTCCTGGCCCTGATCTGTGGCCCTGCTCATCATTCTCTGGGACTCTTCTGTTTTTCTTGTCCTCTAGAGCACTGCCTCCAGCTCCAAACGTAAAGCCCGAAAGCGTTGGCGGCACGACAGTCCATGGATCAAGCCATCCCGAAAACGCAAACGCAAAGAGCCACATCCCACGGAAAACACAGGTGATTCTCTCAGGGCTAACCAAATCTGGAATGGGGAACTTATTCTCTCTCTCCCTTTGCGATGGTGTTTTTCTGCCTTGGCAACTTTAAGATGTATGGACTTCAACGCCCAGAATTCCCCAGCCAGCAGAATGCGGAAAAGAAAGACACAGTACCTCTGGATTTTGATGGGGAAGCTTGCTGGATGTTACAACAGAAGAATCACTCTTGTAAGAAGATGCTGGTCTTTTGTTGGTGGAACCTTCCTTTGGAAGGACCCAGAAATAGCTGTCTTAAAAAGATAGTTAAAAGAGATGTGTGGTTTAGCTAAGACCTACGGCAGATAGGTGCCTTCTGTCGACTCCCAACATTCGTTTCAAGTCTGATCAGGATCCCAAATCATTTGGGAGCCCGAGATTAATTGTTCTAAGTGTCAGGAAGTTTATCCTTATTTCTAGGTTGCTTCTCTCCTTGATCAGTTTCCACCCATTGCTTCTTGTCCTGCCTTCAGGCGCCTTGGAGAATAGCTTGACTCCCTCTTCTTTGTGGCAGCCCCTGAGATATTGGAACACTGCTATCATAGATCAATGCTTCTCAACCTGCGCAATTTTAAGATGTGGGGACTTCACCTCTGAGAATTCCCCAGCCAGCATGGGTTATTTGTAGCTGCTAATTACAGCAGGTTCCATTAAGAGCTGTGGTGGCACAGTGGTTAGAAGCAGTACTGCAGGCTAATTCTGCTAACTGCTGACTGCCAGCAGTTTGGCAGTTCGAGTCTCACCAACTCAGGGTTGACTCAGCCTTTCATCCTTCCGAGCAGGGGCAGGCAACCTTGGTTCTTTTATGACTCGTGGACTTCAACTTCCAGAATTCCTGAGCCAGCCATGCTGAGGAGAAATGGAGAGGTTTCCATGCTGAGCCATGCTGGCTCAGGAATTCTGGGAGTTGAAGTTCACGAGTCATAAAAGAGCCAAGGTTGCCTACCCCTGCTTCTGAGGTCAGTAAAATGAGGACCTAGATTGTTGGGGACGGTGACATGCTGACTCTGTAAACCGCTTAGAGAGGGCTGTAAAGCACTGTGAAGCATTATATAAGCCTAAGTGCTATTGCTGTAGTCTCCATCTCAGGTGGCAGATACATTATTAAGCACTTGGAGCGCCTAATAATCTTTTGGTTGCCCAGTTGATAGATACCCTGCAACCATCATAAATACCTGTCAGTTGCCAAGTGTCCAAATTTTGATCACTTGATCATGCGGATGCAGAAATTGTTGTAAATGTGGGGAAAAAACCGATCGTAAGTCACTTTTTTCAGTGCCGTTGTAACTTTGGATGGCCACTAAATGAATGGTTGTGAAGTCAAGGAGTACTTGCAGTAGCTCCTGATCTGATCTGAAAATATTTAGGAGGCTACAAAATCTGAAATGGCTGCTAGTTTCATTCACAACCTCCAGAGAGAAGTCCGTCAAAACGGGAATTATTTAATGAAAAGAAATCAAAAGGCATCTGGGATGGAGGCTAAAACATATAAGGAACGGTTGCTGGAATTGGGTATGTCTAGTATGTCTAGTTTAATGAAGAGAAGGACGAGGGGGGACATGATAGCAGTGCTCCAATATATCTCAGGGGCTGCCACAAAGAAGAGGGAGTCAAGCTATTCTCCAAGGCGCCTGAAGGCAGGACGAGAAGCAAGGGATGGAAACTAAGCAAGGAGAGAAGCAACCTAGAACTAAGGAGAAACTTCCTGACACTTAGAACAATTAACAGTGGAACAACCTGCCTCCAGAAGCGGTGAATGCTCCAACACTGGAAGTTTTTAAGAAGAGACTGGACAGCCATTTGTCTGAAATGGTATAGGGTTTCCTGCCTGAGCAGGGGGTTGGACTAGATGACCTCCAAGGTCCTTTCCAACTTTATTACTATTATTATTTGGATTACGAACAAAATATAATAATAATATTCATGTGCTTTTCCTGGTCGGGGACATTCCTTAGTCTCTGTTTCCTTCCTTAGGTCTGAATGGGGGCCCATCAACCACCCAGAGCGAGTATACGGAGGTGCCTCTTGGCTGCCTGGAGCTGCCTAACGAGGGGGCACTGTCCCCCAACAATGCCGGTGTGTGTCCATCCATCCCTCCTCTACCTTTGGAGCAGCAGGGCTCAATACTTCAAGCTGTGTTGCCTTGGGAGGGTAGTTTTGAGCGTGTATATTTTCTTTTCTTTTTTAAGAGGGACTTGGTTCGCAACTTTCACTGTACTATGCAGGTGAGAAACGTTGACTTATCGAAGCAAAGCTATCGTGGTATATCTGACTAACCGACCAGAGGAAAGAGAGTGGGCTTGGGATACCTTTTGAACGTTGCCTTCTCCCAAATAATCTTATTGCTGTCTTTTTTTACAACTTGGGTTTCCTCCACACTGCATCTGCTACCTCAACAGCAAATCATCCTGGATCATTGGTGGCTCATCGTTCATGGACCCATAAGTTAAGCAGAGCCTGGAAGCTCAGGGGAAGGGGCGCTGTTGAGAAGGATGGTGTTGATTTAAGACCCCAGAGTTGGAAGATGGGAAGTTGCAACCGGAGCTGTAGGTTGACCTCCACCTCTTAAGCTAGTGTAGCTAAAAGCTTGGGTGGCGCAGTGGTTAAAGTGCAGTATTGCAGGCAAACTCTGCCCACAGCATGGAGTTTCATCCAGACAGGGCTCAAGGTAGACTCAGCCTTCCATCCTTCTGAGTAAGATGAGGACCCAGATTGTTGGGGGCAATATGTTGATGGCTATAAACTGTTTAGAGAAGGCTGTAAAGCACCGTGAAGTGGTATTTAAGTCTTAAGTGCTAGTGCTATTGACTCACCCTTCCAAAGTTGGTAAAATGAGGACCCAGATTTTTGGGAGCAATATGCAAATAATGCTTACATTGTAAACTGCCCAGAAAGTGCTGTAAAACATTACCGAGCAATATATAAGCCTAAATGCTATTGCTCGTGTAGTGCCTTCATGTGCTATAGAACAATGGTGGCAAACCTATGGCACGGGTGCCAGAGGCGGCACTCAGAGCCCTCTCTGTGGGCACTCGCGCCGTTGCCCGAGTCCTAGGCCTTCAGCTGGGTTTTATAAAACCTTTTCGCTTTAGGCCTCTGCCGCCATGTGCAAAAAAAAAAAAAAAAGGGTTCAATCAATCAGTCAATTTCAACTTCTTGCGGGAAAAAAAAAAGATCTTGCAAAGTTGGAATTGATTGATTGAACTTTTTAGTCCCACCCAGTCTGCTGTTACCACCGCAGCCACGCCCACCCAATGGGCCACACCCACCCGGCACTCGATGATGCATAAGTGGATTTTGGGTTGCAGTTTGGGCACTCGGTCTCTAAAAGGTTCGCCATCACTGCTATAGAACAATTAATTTTCCCAAGAGGCCACATGAAAAACCAGGACAGTTGTGGAAGGCTGAACCAGTAAGGTGCGAAAGTGTCTAAGCAGGCATGCAGGTATATATGTCAATTGGGGAAAAAATAGTCACCTTCAAAACCAATCCATGTGGGTCAGACAGGGACAGTAAAGGGCCAAATGTAGCCCTGGGGGCATAAAATGCTCAGGTCTGTTGTAGAAGTTGCTCTCCAATTGCCAGTGTTGAAGAACAGGTGCATTAGTGTTTGTACATGGAGAGGCTGCCATCTTCTCTCCAAACTCAAAGCACAGGTGTCTAAAGATTTAGTCCAGGGGTCTCCAGCCTTGGCAGCTTTACGACTTGTGGACTTCAACTCCCAGAATGCCTCAGCCAACTGGGATCATGGTCCTCAGATCATGGCTGTCTGAGGAATTCTGGGATTTGAAGTCCATAAGTCGTAAAGCTGCCAAGGTTGGAGACCCCGATTTAGAGCAGTGGTTCTCAACCTTTTTAATGCCGCGACCCCCAACCGGTCGTAAGTCGAGGACTACCCAACCGGTCATAAGTCGAGGACTACCCAACCAGTCGTAAGTCGAGGATTTTCCCTGCCCAGGAGCGCCGCGCATGCGTGGTGCCGCCCCCTGCAAGGGGCAGCGACGGCGCAGGCCGACCACCGGCTGGGCCACCAGCTGGCCCAGCCCAAGGGAGGTAAGGCACCCGCCAGGCCCCACGCGCGCCAGCAACCCTCCCTGCGCCCGCCGGCCTCCCACCTCCCACCCCTGGCCCTCTTTTACTTATATTTTTAGTAGTTGCTCAGCAGGGAGGGGTGGAAGCTTCCAGACAGCTCGCCTTCGCTGCAGACAACTTGCAGCACCATTTGTAGAATGGGACTTTTGGCGGGCTCAGCAGGGCAGAGACAGCCTGGACAATTCCTATTGGCTTTTGAAAGCCAATAGAATTAGACTCTATTCAAGAGAGTCTATTCTATTGGCTTTCAGAAGCCAATAGGATAAAAGGGAGTAGCACAGCTAAGGAAAAGGGGAAAACAAAATGGCGGACTGCGTTTGGTGACCCCCGTGAAATGGTCATTTGACCCCAAATGGGGTCGCGACCCACAGGTTGAGAACCGCTGATTTACAGCATCTAATAAACGTTGGGATGCCCAATTGATAGAGCTTGACCTAGATGGACAAAGAACATGGGACCCGCATGGCTGACAAGTAGGCTTTCCAGGAGACACATCATCTCCTTCTCCCCCTTCCCAGGTGTGTCTAATGAGACAAGTTCGCTGGAAACCGAACGCTTTGAGGAACTTCCGTTATGCTCCTGCCGCATGGAAGCCCCAACCATTGAGCGGCTTAGCCAGCAGGCTGGAAATCAATGCATGGCAACTGAGAGTGCTGATGGGGAGGTAAGCAAGGATGAAGATTCTAGAAGGAAGAAGCTCCAGGTGGTTTTATTTAAGTACTTTCCATTTTGCCCTGTTGATTTTTAAGTCAAAATATTCATTGCAAGCCTCTCTGTTACTTCTAAATCAGGGGTTCTCAACCTTGGCAACTTTAAGACTTGTGGACTTCAACTCCCAGAATTCCTCAGCCAGCAAAGCTGGCTGAGGAATTCTGGGAGTTGAAGTCCACAAGTCTTAAAGTTGCCAAGGTTGAGAACCCCTGTTCTAAATAATGATAATAAGGATTCTGTGTAATGCAAGTAGTCCTCAGCCCAATTTTAAGCTGATCTTTGATATTAAGTTTTAGCTGAAGATGGCAAACTTAACATCTGAATGAAATGGGTCTTTTCTGCCGCCTGAAACAAAGACAGTTTAGCCCCCAAGGCAGGGTTTCTCAATCTTAAAGGCTTTAAGATGTGTGGACTTCAACTCCCAGAATTCCTTAGCCAGCATGGCTGGCTGAGGACTTCTGGGAGTTGAAGTCCACACATCTTAAAGTCACCAAGACTGAAACATTACCCTAGTAAATTACCTCAGTGGGACCTGGCCCACAAAAAAAGTGGAGACAGCTTCTCCTTTCTGCCTTTACAGCTAAATGGCTGCAGCAGCAGCATTTTGAAGCAAGAAACGATGCGTCCTTCCAGCCGGGTTCCCCTCATGGTCCTGTGCGAAGCCCATCGTGCCCGGATGGTGAAGCATCACTGCTGCCCTGGATGTGGCTACTTCTGCACGGCGGTGAGGAATGAAAATCGGCAGGCATGTGGGGACCTAAAAATGGGGTGAGAGGGTCACCGTCCGCCCTCTGGGGGTATTTGAGGGGCAGAGCGCAGTCCTGAGACTACCTGAATAAATCCATTGGTGGCCATTTTGAGCTAAGGCCTCAAGGTCAGTTAGAAGAAAGCCTGGCCAGGTTGGTCAGGAAAGTAGTGAGGACCAGACTCCTGTTACGTCTCCTAGGCCTGCTCATCCTGGAGAATTTGGCTGCTTGCTAGCGGCAAAGGTTGGGTTTTTATATCTTGTTCTTCCTGAATTTTCAGTTCTACTATTTCTAGCAAGCCTGGTTGTCAACTCCAATGTTGGCTTACCCAGTAACCTTTCAAATGTTGGGAAACTACAATCCTCATCACGTCTATGGAGATTCTCAGTCATCCAGGTCATAGTTGTCCCAAACGTGCTTTTGTCACAAGGCAGCTGGACTTTCTTGTTTTTCTTTGAAGATGTTTCGCTTCTCATCCAAGAAACTTCTTCAGCTCTGACTGGAGGGTGGGGATGGAAGGATTTATATTCCTTGCAGACAGCTGGTCATTTGCATTCTTTTAAAGCACCGTTTCTCAACCTTGACAATTTTAAGGCATGTGGACTTCAACTCCCAGAATTCCATAGCCAGCATTGCTGGCTGTGGAATTCTGGAAGTTGAAGTCCACATGCCTTAAAATTGTCAAGGTTGAGAAACACTGTTTTAAAGAGTCATTGAGGCCCTTTGGAGGTTTACCTCAGGGTTACCTGAGTGGTGCAAATGTGTATGGAGCCTTCTTGGAAGTGTTGTAGACTGGAGATAGATGATGTCGTATCCCTCCCCCTCTGTTAAGAGAGGGATGTTCAATTTTGACATAGATGGTCCCTTTGACCTGCTCTTTCAAGCCAACGGTCCCCTCTGTCCAAAACGTGGACTTTGCTATCTTCAAAAGAGCGGCCTTTATCTTTTAAATGCAGACGGACTACTGAATCCTGTCCTGATGGGCTTGTTCTCCTATGTTGTGCCATGCCTTTATGAAATGGTTGTTTTGTTTCCCCAGTGTACAGATCTGCACATGGCTCACTGCATTGTACTGCATATACCACGTTGCTCAGTTTGTGCCTGGGTGTTTTATCCTTGGAGTGGACAAGCTTCTGCCTTAGTGTATTCTTGAATTTGAAGTGTGCATGTATGTTGTGTTGGCTTTAGATCCTCCTGAGCTTTTCTGATATTCCTGCAACGTATAGAATGACTACGTTGCTTCGTTTATTGTTTTTTTTTTTTTGTCTGTTATGGAGGAGCTCCTGCTGTGTCTTTTTTGAGATTTGATGAAGGCCCACTTGGGATAGCCACAAGTTATGAGGGCTTCCTTGATGTGTTTTCTTTTTCTTTTCCATCTTTGCTGGGAGGCAAGGTGTTCTATCCCAGCCTATAGCCGTCCTTATTAAAGGCACAAGGACCAAACCCCTGTTGATAAAATAGGCTGGAGACTTTACAACAAAACAAACCCCTTTTAATACGGGTGACAAACCTGCCAGTTAGTCCAAAACACAAACAGCAAAACTCAATCCAAATGAAGGAAATAGTCCACAGGAAACACGATGCAAACAGAAGAGTAGTCACAAGCAAGACGAACAGACCAGGATTCAAAGAAGTACTTTGCAAACGGTTGCCTTCAGCAACCAGCACCGCCCACACCTCTTCTTTTTATACAGCAGTCCCAAGGCATTGCCTCTCAGTGCCTTCTCCTTTTACCCTGGAGTTGCCATATTGACTGCTGCTGATTTACTCTTGCTAATTGACGACGTGTGCATGCATCAATTAGCATGTCCATCAGATGTGAGTCCTCCGAGTCTGACTCATTCTCCTCACATAGCTGAGCTTCATCAGGAACACGACTGGACGGCCCAGGCTCTGCATCAAACCGTGCGTCCTGTAATTCATCAGAGCCTCCCTCTGCCCCTGATGGCCTTTCAAATGCCTCCTCCATCTCCTTCTCAGATTCCTCAGACTCAGCTGTTGGGAGCACAGGCTGGCACGGAATCACAACACAGGGCTTCAGCTTTTGTGCTTCAGTGGGGGGTGAGAATCAAAATGTAAATACTGATCTCTGTGTGGGTTTTCTGTACATTTCAGTGTTAAGGCTTCTGTCTTCCTTAATGTATACTGCACAGTCCAGGAAGGCTAGACTATTTTCCTTAACATCTTCGCGTGTGAATTCGACGTATCTGTCCAGCGAGTTGATATGTTTGGTGAATGTTTCCAATTCCTGTCTTTTGATTTTGACCCAAATATCGTCCACATACTTATACCAGTGAGTGGGTTGAATTCCTGTGAAGAAATTTAGGGCTTTGGTTTCTATCTCTTCCATGTAGAGATTGGCCACAATGGGGGACACAGGTGAGCCCATGGCGCAGCCATGTTTTTTTTCTGTAGAACACTGTATTTAAAATATATAAATCCTTCCATTCCCACCATCCAGTCAGAGCTGAAGAAGCTTTTTGGATGAGAAGCGAAACGTCTTCAAGGAAAACAAGAAAGCTCAGTTGCCTCGTGAAAAAAGCACCTTTGGGACTACACTCCCCATGATTTTTTTTTTTTTTTTTTTGCAAGTTTGGCCAGTGGAGGAATTCTAGGAATTGTTGCTGAACACTAATATACAGAAGGTGTGGCGGGACCATCAGATCCCTGACAGCTTCTTTTCCTTTTTCTCAGGGCACCTTTCTGGAGTGCCACCCGGACTTCCGTGTTGCTCACCGCTTCCACAAGGCCTGCGTTTCCCAACTGAATGGTATGATCTTCTGTCCACATTGTGGAGAAGATGCTTCAGAGGCCCAGGAGATCACCATAGCCAAGGCGGACACCTCCACGCCTGTCCCCATCCCGCTGTCACATGGCCAAGGCGCTTCCGAGTCCACCGGCCGTGCTGACACCACCCAACCCAGGTGAGTAGGCTGCATCTGGCAGGGATCCCAATTTCCAGGTTTTCAGAAAATAAAAGGATATGTTTTTTTTTTCTTTATAAATGGAAGCTTTCTAGTTAATGCCAAAGGTCTTCTTGAGTATCACTCTCAAGCTGTAAAACGGGTGGGGAACTCTCGCCCTTTTATGACTTGTGGACTTCAACTCCCAGAATTCCTGAGCCAACCATGTTGATGCATGCTGAGTCATGCTAGCTCAGGAATTCTGGGAGTTGAAGTCCACAACTCATAAAGGAGCCATAGTTCCCCACCTCTGCTGTAAAACAAGTAGACAATCTACAGCAGACATGTCAAACACAAGGCCCGGGGGCCGGATGTGGCCCGCAAAGTGGTTTCATGTGGCCTGCGAAGCCATCCTGGAAACACTGAGGGAACGGCCCCCACTGCCTTGGCCCTGGCCCAGGCCAGCCGGGAGCCAATGTACAATTTTGTGGTGGCCATCTTGGCACTTGCCCCGGTGGACCGTGCCTTGGCACTTGCCCCGGTCCCACCCCCTTCTGCCAGAGACCCTCAGATCTGTCCCACTCCTGCCCAGGCCCCCATAGGCACCCTTGACGCGAACGATGTAGAACTGGCCACGCCCACCCAGTAGGCCACACCTACTCCATCCATGCCCATCCAGTAGGCTGCACCCACTCTGGCCACACACACCCCCCCCCCAGGGCAACCGTAATGCTAATGCGGCCCTCAGTGAAATTGAGTTTGACACCCCTGATCTACAGGTTCTGTGTGTACCTCCTCCTCCTCCAAAGGACACAGAATTGACCAAATCTTTGAAATGTTCTAATTTTGGCACTGCCTGTGGAGAAAGCAGTTTCTTCTTTTCTATCTCTAAATCCCAATAAAAGAAAAATTGCACTTCTAGAACTCACAGGCAACAAAAGGGCCACATTTGAGCAGGGCTTAGGAGGGCTAGCATAAATTTGATCCTCCATTCCACCATTCCCCACAAATACGCACACAAATGCTTCCAAAGGTTTTCAGCCTCACTCTTCCCAGTGACATCGTGTCAGCCCTCTGAAGTAAGCGAGGTCAGGAAAAAAGATCCCCAAGACATACTACAATTTTCTAGGCCAGTGTTTCTCAGCCTAGCAGGCTTAATAGGTGTGAACTTCAATTCCCAGAATTCTCCAGGCAGCATGCCGGAGTCTACACCTCTTAAACTTGTTGAGGTTGAGAAACACACTATCTAGGCCAGTGGTTCTCAACCTGTGGGTCGGGACCCCATTTGGGGTCGAACGACCATTTCACGGGTGTCGCCAAACAACGCAGTCCACCATTTTTTCCCCCTTTTCCTTAGCTGTGCTACTCCCTTTTATTCTATTGGTTTTTGAAAGCCAATAGAATAGACTCTCTTGAATAGAGTCTACTTCTATTGGCTTTCAAAGGCCAATAGGAATGGTCCAGGCTGTCTCTGCCCTGCTGAGCCCGCCAAAAGTCCCATTCTGCAAACGGTGCTGCACCAGTTGAGTAGTCCCCGACTTATGACCGGTTGAGTAGTCCTCGACTTACGACCGGTTGGGGGTCGCGGCATTAAAAAGGTTGAGAACCACTGATCTAGGCTATCATCACAGAATCTTGAAACCTGCCAGTGTTTCTCCTTTCCTTCCTCTTATACCAGGGGTAGGCAACCTCGGCTCTTTTATGACTCGTGGACTTCAACTCCCAGAATTCCTGAGCCAGCCATGCTGAGGGGAAAGGGAGAGATTTCCAAGCTGAGCCATGCTGGCTCAGGAATTCTGGGAGTTGAAGTCCACGAGTCATAAAAGAGCCAAGGCTGCCTATCTCTGTCTTATACCAAAGAAAGTCAAGGCAGGACCATCTTGAGGTTTTTTCCTCTCTCACATTTTCCTGATTTTCTAAACTAAGTTCATGTTTTTTCTAATGGTTGCCACAAGGCCATTTCTATATTCTTCTGTACATCATTGTGTTATTTGCAAAGGCAGCTGTTACAGCTTGTGATGACACAAAATAAGATGAACTGTGTATTGTCCTGACACAACGGAGTACACGAAGGTTAATATCAGACACAAGGAAACAGAACGACACTGTGACCTAATCAGAGTTGCTTCTCTTTTATTGTTGCTTGCCTTTTTACAAGAATTTTGCCAGACTGACTGCATTCTCTTGGGAACAGCTAGATACAGGCTTCAGAGATTTTAGGGCAGCGGTTCTCAACCTTTTTAATGCTGCAACCCCCAACCGGTCGTAAGTTGAGGACTATTCAACCGGTCGTAAGTCGAGGACTACTCAACTGGTGCAGCACCATTTGCAGAATGGGACTTTTGGTGGGCTCAGCAGGGCAGAGACAGCCTGGACAATTCCTATTGGTTTTTGAAAGCCAATAGAATTAGACTCTATTCAAGGGAGTAGCACAGCTAAGGAAAAGGGGAAAAAATGGCGGACTGCATTGTTTGGCGACCCCCGTGAAATGGTCGTTCAACCCCAAATGGGGTCCCGACCCACAGGTTGAGAACCACTGTTTTAGGGGGAGACAGATATCTGTCACTTCTACGGCTGCAGGGATTCCAAGCTCACCCACAGTCTCCTCACTCTTCACGCTTTAGTTCAACCGAGAACCATTTTAGAGACCGAGTGCCCAAAAACTGACCCTGCCCCCGCTCCACCTCTGCCTTGCCCCCACCCCGCCTGCCCGCAGGGCCACTCATCGCCTCCAGGGCCCGCTGCAGATCGCCCAGCAGCGCCATGGCAGCCACGCCCTCTGCCCGCACCCTGCAGCATCAACTGTGTGCAATGTGGCGTGAGGGCAGAGTCTTGTCTACGCTGCCTGGCTGCCATGTCCTTGGCTGCGCTGCTCCGTGTAGGCCACGCTCGGGGGCGACTCTTCTCCAGGAGGGCTACTGGTGAGGAGGGGGTCACGGGGGGGGGGAGGTAAGGCTGGGGCAACGGCACGTGTGCCCACAGAGAGGGCTCCGAGTGCCGCCTCTGGCACCCGTGCCATAGGTTCGCCACCACTGCTCTAGCTGAAGAGTCCACCACCTACAGGTGGTCCTCAACTTACAACCATTCATTTAGTGACCGTTCAAAGTACAACTGAAAGAAGTGACTTATGGCCGTTTTTCCATATTTTAGGACTGTTGCACCATCCCCATAGCCCCATGATCAAAATTCAGACTCTTGGCAATCGGCTCATGTTTATGACGGTTGCAGTGTCCTGAGGTCACGTGATCCCCTTTCTGACAAGCAAAGTCAATGGGGGAAGCCAGATTCACTTAATAACCGCGTTACCAACTTAACAACTGTGGTGATTCACTTAATAACGGTGGCGAGAAAAGTCGTAAAATGAGGCAAAACTCACTTAACTGTCTCGCTTAGCAACAGAAATTTGTTTGTGTTTGTAAGTCGTGGGCTACCTGTATTACGACATTGTGATTTCTTAACTTGGTACCTTACCGATCTGTTTGGCCTTCCCTCAGTGCTCGGATGCGTGGGGGCTCAGGTGTTGAACACCCACCAGATGACACGGTGGGCTTCGGTGGCCCAAGTATTGATAGCGCAGGACCACGGTTGACTCTTCCTAACGGGGCTGTGCTTTCAGCACAAGGATTGCCACCAGGGGCTGGACGGGAGCAGCTAGAGCGAGCCCTGGTGGTACAGGAATCCGAAAGGTAAGCAAACCGCTATTCTCCCCCTCTGTGCCTTGATATAATCATTAGCATTATTCCAGCAAACATTGGTTGTTTGATAGCAGGGGTCAGGCCTTGGCAACGAATCAGGGTGTGAGAGCTCCTAATGGGTGCGGAGTTGCCATAATTTTCCCCGTCTGCCCTGTCTCTTGCTTTCCACAGTTTGCCCTTTTCTCCAAATTTCCTTTGCCTGACGCTCTTTGATTTCTCTCCTCTCTCGCTCCCAGGCGCAAGAAGCTGCGATTCCATCCGCGTCAGCTCTACCTCTCCGTTAAGCAAGGGGAACTCCAGAAAGTGGTCCTGATGTTGTGTAAGTTATCCGTGGTCTACTTGCACCCACTTCCCTGCTGGAAATGTGGAATGAGGAGGCCAGTGATAGGAGAAGGGCACCCTATTGGGTACCTCTACAGCAGGGCTTTTCAACCAGTGGTACGGGTACCACCTGTGGTACATTGGCACCTGGCAGGTGGTACGCGGCCATCCTAGAAAAGTGGTAGCAGGGGAGGGGAATGAGCTGAATGAGGTGTGGCAGCACCGCACAAGCCTGAGCAAAAGATGGCTGGAGCTGCAGGGCTGTCAGGGCTCAGCGGAAGCACCAGGATCAGCGCCAGGCTCCAGCTGGAGCTCGGCGCTGATTCTGGCACTTCTGCTGCACCCAGAAGAAGCGCCGATCAGCTGGAATGTTGCAGCCTCTCCAGGGTCTTGTGATTTACATTCAGATGCTTGGCAACTGATTCATATTTATGACGGTCACAGCATCCCAGGGTCATGTGAAGTGACCAAAACTGCTGCAACCACCCAGCAGATGGTGGGAATAAAAACCCAACACCCCCCCAAACCCCACCCCCGCTGCCAATCCTCAACAGAAATGCTCACAACAATGAAAACCTTGGACAGGAGGAAGAGTGTGGCCGGGCGGGCAGGCAGGTGTCTTGCTCGGCTGTGCCTTGGGGGGCACTTTTTTCAGTGCCATTGTAACTTTGAACAGTCATTAAGCGAACTGTTGTAAGTCAAGGTCTACCTGTACTTTATCACTTTTTTCCTTTTTGGGGGGGGGTCATCAAGTTTTTGACACCTTGCTAGGTGGTATTCAGGTGTTGCCATATCCTAAAAGTGGTACAATGGGTGAAAAGGTTGAAAAGCCCTGCTCTATAGCAGTGTTTTTCAACCTTAGTAACTTTTAAGATGTCTGGATTTCAACTCCCAGAATTCCCCAGAATTCAAGAGTTTGTGCAAGAGATTTCTTTCAGTGCCTCCTTAGGGGGTTAAAATTTACCATTTTATTTTCATGAATCTAGCTAATCGGGACAATCGTGTATTCTCTTTTCTTTTTCATCTTCTCTCTTTTTTCCCCCAGTAGACAGCTTGGACCCCAATTTCCAGACCGAACAGCAAAGCAAGCGTTTTCCACTGCATGCTGCAGCACAGAAGGGCTACATGGAAATCTGCCATGTTTTGCTGCAGGTGGGTGTGTGTCTGTGTCTGTGTGTGAATAAACCTGGGCCTCTGGGCTCCACTGGGTTTCCTTTTTCCTTCATATGATCTGAGTATGAGCAAAAAGTAAATAAGCATCATTCATCAAACAAAATGAACATTCAATGGTGAAAAAAGCAAGGTTCTACATTTAGGCAAGAAAAACCAAATGCACAAGTACAGCATAGGTGGCACCATGCTCAATAGTAGTAACTGTGAGAGGGACCCCGGAGTCCTAGTAGACAATCACCTAAATACGAGCCAGCAGTGTGCTGCAGCTGCCAAAAAGGCCAACACAGTGCTAGGCTGCATTAACAGAGGGATAGAATCAAGATCACGTGAAGTATTATTACCACTCTTCAATGCCTTGGTAAGGCCACACTTGGAATACTGCATCCAGTTTTGGTCACCACGATGTAAAAAAGATGTTGAGACTCTAGAAAGCGTACAGAGAAGAGCAACAAAGATGATTAGGGGACTGGAGGCTAAAACATATAAGGAACGGTTGCTGGAATTGGGTGCTGCAAGGGCAGGCCAGATGGGTGAAAGAGGCATGTTTTTCTGGGCACAGCGCCGCTCTTGCTGCACTAACGCAGCCCCTGGGCACTTGCCAGACCTCATAAGTCTTTTTTGGAAGATCTCGGCGAGGGACAGCACTAATAAAGGTACGGTAGTTTTGGAATGTGGCCTAAGCAGTCTATAACCTGATCTGAGCCGTCTAAAACGCTCAGATCAGGTGACAGACTCCCTTGAAGCAGCCCCCTCTCCCTGCTCTCTATCACATTGCGCTACCACTCAGATCGTCTTGGAGACAGGCAGGGAGAGCTGACCCACCCAATCCAAGCAGGCTTTGTATACAACAACCAGCCAATCACCGGTAAGGTACATCGCTTGCCGTGATTGGCTAGTTGTTGTATACTGGGTAATTTTTATTTGGTGTGCGTTGGAAGAGGGGTAGACTTATACGGCGAGTATAGCCCAAACTCTATATTTCAGTGGTTCTCAACCTTTTTAATGCCGCGACCCCCCAACCAGTCGTAAGTCGAGGACTACTCAACCGGTCATAAGTCAAGGACTACTCAACTGGTGCAGCACCGTTTGCAGAATGGGACTTTTGGCGGGCTCAGCAGGGCAGAGACAGCCTGGACAATTCCTATTGGCTTTTGAAAGCCAATAGAATAGACTCTCTTGAATAGAGTCTAATTCTATTGGCTTTCAAAAGCCAATGGAATAAAAGGGAGTAGCACAGCTAAGGAAAAGGGGGGAAAAATGGCGGACTGCGTTGTTTGGCAACCCCCGTGAAATGGTCGTTCGCCCCCAATTGGGGTCCCGACCCACAGGTTGAGAACCACTGCTATATTTTAACTGGAAAAGTTGGGGGTTGTCTTATACGCCCAGTCATCTTATAGGCCAGAAAATACGATAGATAGTATCTCCTTGGATCAAGGGTGTCAAATTCGATTGCGTCATGGGACACATTGTGACGTGTTTTACCTTTGCAGAGCCGGGGCAGGTATGGCCTGCGTGTGACGCATCCAGCCCACGGGCCGCCAGTTTGACACCTGCCTTAGATCATCACACCCTTTTTCCAGTTATAGTATTCTAATCTATAAAATACGCAGCACGGATTTGCTGATTTTTGGAAATTCTGCAGCCCATTTTGAGTAAGGGCGGCTCAGATCCTCAGTAACCCACACATAGATTTGAATATACGTATCTTTGCCCAGTGGCTACAGCTGTGCCCGACAGGCACAATTTTACACTTGAAGGAGGCTTCTGAAAGAGGGAGGGATGAAAAGGTTAAATACACAGTTCTGGGTTTGCTGAGAGAGAGAGGAAAGCTGTTGACTAGTCAATATCTCAAAATATGGTTGTATTAAGCTGCTCTTAGGTCAGTTGGTTGAAATTGGCATAGGGTAGTCCTTGCTGAGCGACTGCGATTGTTCCAGTGGCTGACACAGTCACTAAGCAAACTAGTGACAGAGAGGGTGACAAAGATGCTGCAAAGGTTGCTAGTAGTCCTATAGACTCATTCAGATAAAAGTTCTCTTGGTTGGTGCCGTTTTGTTTTGTTTGAGGGTTTTTTGGGGTGTTTTTTTTTTTTGCCCCTTAAACAAATGTTCTCTTCCTGAGTTAACTTTTATATGCAGCCCAGCTCTTTCCTAAAAAGGGCTAATTAACAAGCTCAGCTCTGAAACCTTAATTAGTTGATTAGAAGCCTCCTGGTAGTTTCCCAGCTGCTGCTGAATCTGACCACACGTTAATCAGTTCCACATTGAAGGTTTTTATTGTCCTAAATCAGGGGTCTTCAAAATCGGCCCTTTTAGGACTCATGGACTTCAACTCCCAGCATTCCTCAGCCAGTGTGCCTGGCTGAGGAATTCTGGGAGTTGAAGTCCATGAGTCTTAAAAGAGCTGAGTTTGAAGACCCCTGTCCCTAAATACTGGTGACAAAACTACTTTTTCTTAACCTGGTAATTGCAAACTGTGGCTATCCGAGACAAGTCACTAAACTGGTACTACCTACCATGTATATCAGTTAAACATGTAAAGAAGTCAATTAGTAATAAATCATAAACATTCTCTCTGGCAGGCTGGAGCCAACATAAATACGGTGGACAAGTTACGTCGGACCCCTTTAATGGAAGCGGTTGCAAACAACCACGTGGAGTTAGCCCATTACTTGGTCAAGAGGGGTGGTTGTGTGTACACAAAGGTCAGGAGATGAAAGAAATGGTCTTTTGGTGGAAAGATTGCTGTGTGGAAGGGAGTGGGGTGGAGATATTTTATTTCTTAAAGGGAGTTGGTGTGGCATTTATTTTTTATTTTTTGCAACAGTCCTGTGCTTTTAATAGATATATATGACAAGTGTTATTTTGGTACACAACGGTTTCGTTTCTATGTGCCTTGCTGCTTTTAAAAGGATGAGATTCTTCAAAATAATGTGTACCAAGGGCCTAATTGTAGCATTTCTTCACAACATGTGCTTTTCTTTGAGAACAATCATAGTTCAGTGGAGAAACAAATATGTGTGTTTAACTGGCTCAGCTCTCTGTTTGAAGCAATTTCTCCTCAGAAACTTGACACTTTCAACATCAGCAATGCTTTTTTTTAAAGAAATCTTTTTTTAAATGACAAAATAGTATTTAATCTTAAGAAATTTAAACATAGAAACTCAGAAAGGAAAAGAAAAAACTATCTGATATTTTATATTTATCAATAATCACTAGTTCACCACTAAAACTTTGATGATTGAAATCAGTGTTTCTCAATCTTTAAGACATGTGGACTGCAACTTGCAGAATTCCCCAGCCAGCATGGGAGTTGTAGTCCACACCTCTTAAAGTTGCTAAGATTGAGAAATACTGAAATAAACAATTGAGTATAGTATTGTAAGATATCACAGGATTTCTGCCATAGTAACATATATATTGCTACATCCTTTGGTAGAAAATACCACCTTTTCCGAAACAGATCACACATTTCCAACAACCTTGATTAACAATGCTAGTTCCAGCTGGTTTAATAGAATAACTCAGTGACGGGGTTGAACCTTTATATTAAGCATGGTTTGTTTTAACCATGGTTTGTTGAGCCTGTCAGAGTGGCCGGGGTTACACATAATACTAAGCCGTTGTGTACAAACCATATTGACTGGGTTTATAAAAGACCCTGAGCTAAAGCCAAAAAAAAAAAAAAAATCGCACAAAGCTTAGTGTAATGCATGAAAGCAGAGTTTGTGGTCTCTTCTTATGGGATTAAAGTTCAGGATTCCGTCGTTGTTTTGTGAGAATGATAAAAGTAGGGAGGGAATCACTATGGGGAGAGGAAGTGCTTACATCAGTGTTTCTCAACCTTGACAATTTTAAGGCATGTGGACTTCAACTCCCAGAATTCCACAGCCAGCATTGCTGGCTGTGGAATTCTGGGAGTTGAAGTCCACATGCCTTAAAATTGTCAAGGTTGAGAAACACTGGCTTACATGCAACTTAAATTAATGCTGTTTCATTCTTCCCGATGTTACTGCCAAAAGGAGGATGATGGATCTACCTGTCTTCATCACGCTGCCAAGAATGGAAATGTGGAGATGGTCAGCTTGCTCCTTTCCACGGGACAGGTGGATGTTAATGCCCAGGTAAGTGGGGAGGCTGGTTCCCCTTGGTTGCGGATGATGGCTACCAGCTTCACCCAGCTCTCCCTGGCCCTTCACACAGTGCTTGTTCTTCCTGTTCCTTGTTTAGGATAATGGAGGTTGGACCCCCATTATCTGGGCTGCCGAGCATAAGCACATTGAGGTGATCCGTATGTTGCTCACCCGAGGCGCTGACGTCACCTTGACTGACAATGTACGTGAGTTTGGGTTTCGTGGGAAAGCACCAGGCTTGTGAAATTGATATAAAACAGAAATGAGTGAGATTTGTTCCCGGGAGCCAGAACTGTAGCCTGAGGGGGGGGGGGGAGGGAAATCTCTGGTTGGATTTATCTGCATAACAGAATGGACAAGGTTGGTTAGTCCAGGGGTCTCCCACCTTGGCAACTTTAAGACTTGTGGACTTCAATTCCCAGAATTCCCCAGCCAGCCATGGTTGGTCCACAAGTCTTAAAAAGTTGCCAAGATTGGAGATCCCTGGGTTAGGCCACCCCATTGCTGTTGGGCCCTTGCTTTAAAACAGGAGTGTCAAACTCAATTTCATTGAGGGCCACATCAGCATTGCGGTTGCCCTCAGGGGGGTGAGTGGGTGTGGCCAGGGTGGGTGTGACCTGTTGAGTGGGTGTGGCCTACTGGGTGGGCGTGGCCAGTTCTACATCGTTCGCGTCAAGGGTGCCTGTGAGGGCCTGGGCAGGAGTGGGATAGATCTGAGGGTCTCTGGCAGGAGGGGGTGGGACCAGGGCAAATGCCAAGGCATGGTCCACTGGAGGAGCCTCACTGTTTCTCTCAAGCCATGGGGGGGGGGGGGCTTATGGAGCTAAGACTGAATGCGTTTCAGCATAGAGGGCCACCACAAAATTGTACATTGGCTCCCAGATGGCCTGGGCCAGGGCCAAGGCAGAGGGGGCCGTTCCCTCACTGTTTCCAGGATGGCTTCATGGGCCACAAGAAACCACTTCACAAGCTGCATCCGGGCCCCGGGCCTTGTGTTTGACATGTCTGTTTTAAAAGGAAATCCTTGCAGTTAGGAAAGTTTAACACTGCTAAGGGGGAAGGTGGGTAAAAGGAGTCACATGGTAGACATGGCAGTCTCGTTTCTTTGTACACGCATGCAGCATTGATGGATATTCAGGCTTTGGGCCTGCTAGTGAGGATGGCCATCTTGACTCTTTGGCTCCCTCCTATGGCTACTGCTGAGAGTGATAGAAGAGAGCAGATCTGCAGATCTTTACGGTCCTCTACAAGGGAACATGTGGAAGTTTGGACTCCCAGCTTGTTGCCTGTCACTTTTCGTTAACACCTTCCTCTTTTTCTATCCAGGAAGAGAACATCTGTTTGCACTGGGCCTCCTTCACCGGAAGTGCGGAGATTGCTGAAGTCTTACTAAATGCCCAGTGTGATCTCCATGCCGTCAATTTCCACGGAGACACGCCTCTGCATATAGCTGCCCGGGAGAGCTACCACGATTGTGTCCTGTAAGCAACAGGCAGTTGAGAAGTTTCTGTTTTGGGATCCTACACTGCAAGATAGTGGGAGGCCTTTGCTCTAATCGACTACGTCTTCTTCCTCGCACAGCTTGTTCCTATCAAGGGGAGCTGACACGGAAATACGGAACAAGGAGGGGGATTTGCCGGTGGACCTGACCTTGGAAAACTCGGATGTTTGGTTTGCCCTTCAACTCAATCGCAAGATCCGCCAAGGCATCCTTAACCGTTCGATGCGCACGGAGCGCATCATAAGCAGGTAAGGTGGTCGGGTGGAACCCAAGGCATGCAATGCATGTCCGGCTGGGTTTCAGTTTCATTTTTCTAGTACTTGTCATGTGTTCGGGCACGTGATTCCGGTAGGAGGGGGCTTCTGCTTTAGGGCGGGGCCAAGAACTGCATAAATCTTTACACTAGTGGTTCTCAACTTTTTTAATGCCGCGACCCCAACCGGTCGTAAGTCGAGGACTACTCAACCAGTCGTATGCAGAATGGGACTTTTGGCGGGCTCAGCAGGGCAGAGACAGCCTGGACAATTCCTATTGGCTTTTGAAAGCCAATAGAATAAAAGGGAGTAGCACAGCTAAGGAAAAGGGGAAAACAAAATGGCGGACTGCATTGTTTGGTGACCCCCATGAAATGGTCGTTCGACCTCAAATGAGAACCACTGCTTTACACGGAGCTTCAATAAGGAGATTATAATTTGGAGCAAGCGAAGAGGAGGCTCAGATGGAGTTTTTAAAAGTTAGGAAATAGAGCAGGTGCAGGTGGTCCTTGATTTACAACCACTCATTTAGTGACCGTTCAAAGTTAACAACAGCACTGAAAAAAAGTGATTTGTCACCGTTTTTTTTTTACACTTATTACCACCGTGCCCGTGGTTGATGTGATCAGAATTCACATGCTTGGCAACTGACTCATATTTACGACGGTTGCAGTGTCCCAGAGTCATGTTGTCACCTTTTGAGATCTTCTGACAGACAAAGTCAATTTTGGGAGCCAAATTCACTTAACAGCGGTGTTACTAATTGAACAGTAGTCGTGATTCACTTAACAAGAAAAGTCATAAAATGGGGCAAAACTCACTTAATGACTGTCTCACTTAGCAACAGAAATTTGGGGCTTCATTGTGGTCGTAAGTCGAGGGCTATCTATATTTAAGACAATCAATTTAACAAAAAAAGTGGGATATCTATCAAGTGGCACTTAGCAGCGGTGAAAGCACTTAAGCAAACAGATGCAGTTTATCAGGAGGGGGGAGATGAACTGGATACCTGACATTTAACAGCGATGAGGCTTTGGATTTATTCTGCATAGCACCTGAGAGTAAGCCCCCCCCCCAAAAAAAAAAACTGGGTGGAAGCTTAATGGAGATAGTCTTCATTTAGCAAGCACAATTTGGATCAGCAGATCATTGTTAAGCGAAGCAGTACTTATAATTTTACTCCAGCTTTCCTCTACACACCTGTGAAGGTCATAGTATGAGGATTAGTTGCAAAAATCACTGTTTCATTACTGTGGTAATTGCAAATGGTCACTAAATGAGGCAATTGTTAAGCAGGGACTACTAGTAGAGAGAGAGAGTGAAATGTGAAGAATTTCCTGAGAGTAAGACCTGTTAAGCAATGGAAGCTTAAGCCCGTCTCTTGAAGCTCTGGGGGTGCCATCTCTGTAGACCAGTGGTTCTCAACCTCTGGGTCGGGACCCCATTTGGGGTCGAACGACCATTTCACGGGGGTCGCCAAACAATGCAGTCCGCCATTTTTTCCCCCTTTTCCTTAGCTGTGCTACTCCCTTTTATTCTATTGGCTTTTGAAAGCCAATAGAATAGACTCTCTGAATAGAGTCTAATTCTATTGGCTTTCAAAAGCCAATAGGAATTGTCCAGGCTGTCTCTGCCCTGCTGAGCCCGCCAAAAGTCCCATTCTGCAAACGGTGCTGCACCAGTTGAGTAGTCCTCGACTTACGACCGGTTGAGTAGTCCTCGACTTACGACCGGTTGGGGGTCGCGGCATTAAAAAGGTTGAGAACCACTGCTGTAGATGTTCAAGAAAAGGTTGGGCAGCCATTTTGTCTGGAGGGTATGAGAATTCCTACGCAGGATTTGTTTTTCCTGGGGTGCGCAATGGATAAAGCACAATAAAGAGAATAATCGGTGAGAAATAAAAAAAAAATAAAATGACTGAGGCTTAGAGAATCCAGCAATCATCCTATTTTAATGGAATATCATTTAGCAAGGTAGAAGTGGAAGCAAAAGCTGTTAAAACAGGGCCGTGTGCTTAAAAACTGCCACTTAAAAGTAGCCTCCATCTTAGGTTCTGCCCTCTTTTCTTTAACCAGGGATGTGGCTCGGGGCTACGAAAACGTGCCCATCCCCTGTGTCAACTCTGTGGATGATGAACCCTGCCCAGATGACTACAAGTACATCTCCGAAAACTGCGAGACCTCCACCATGAACATCGATCGCAATATCACCCACTTACAGGTATCCTTTCGATCCAACCCAAAGCAACAGGGCTCCTGGGCACAACCAGCAGAGGGGAAAGCAGAGAAGTCAAAAGTCAAGAAATACAGCCTGGCTCTGGACAGTTATTTTAGCCGATCGGCGGGGGGGGGGGATCACGGCATGGTGGGAGAGCAGATGCTTTGCAAGGCAAAAGGCCTCTGAGCTGACTCCTACCGTGTTTCCCAAAAAATAAGACCATCACCTGCCATGTCACCTCCGTTTTCACCTCTCTTCTTTACGTTGGCAGCATTGCACGTGCCAGGACGACTGTTCCTCCAGCAATTGTCTTTGTGGACAGCTTAGCATCCGCTGCTGGTATGACAAGGTGAGGTGGTGCCTTTGAGTGGGGCAGAAGAGCTGCTTAGCAAACTGGAAACCCTCAGACTGAGGATGTGCGGAAAAATCTACTTGGATGCATGTGAGAAATGTTACTCAGCTACAATCTGCCTTTGCTAACCCGCTTCCCTGGGTTTTTAAATACTTAATAATAATTTCTTATCAGGCACCTAAAGCAGGAGACATCTACCCCCATCCTTTAAGGCAGGGTGAGCTAAGAGAGAAGTACTTGCCCCAAATCATCCTGAGCTTTCATGTTCAAATAGGACTTGAACCCAGGTCCTCCCTTCCCCATTTCTAATCCAGTACCAACCGTTAAAAACTCCTCCTTTTTCAGAAGGGAAAGCTGTTGAACTCTTTTAAGAAGAGACTGGACAACTGTTTATCTGAAATGGGATAGGTCTCCTGCTCCAGTAGAGGGTTGGACTAGAACAGGGCTTTTCAACCAGTGGTACGGGTACCACCTGTGGTACATTGGCACCTGGCAGGTGGTACATGACCATCCTAGAAAAGTGGTAGCAGGGGAGGGGAATGAGCTGAACCGGTGGCAGCACCGCACAAGCCTGAGCAAGAGATGGCTGGAGCTGCAGGGCTGTCAGGGCTCAGCGGAAGCGCCAGGCTCCAGCTGGAGCTCGGCGCTGATCCTGGCGCTTCTGAGCCCAGAAGAAGCGCCGATCAGCTGGAATATTGCAGCCTCTCCAGGGTCTTGTGATTTACATTCAGATGTTTGGCAACTGATTTATATTTAGACAGTCACAGTGTCCCAGGGTCATGTGAAGTGACCAGAACCTGTTGCAATCACCCAGCAGACGGCGGGGGGAATAAAAACCAAACACCCCCCCACCCCACCCCTGCTGCCAATCCTCAACAGAAATGCTCACAACAATGAAAACCTCGGATAGGAGGAAGAGTGTGGCCGGGCGGGCAGGCAGGTGTCTTGCTCAGCTGTGGCTTGGGGGGCACTTTTTTCAGTGCCATTGTAACTTCGAGCAGTCACTAAGTGAACTGTTGTAAGTCGAGAACTACCTGTACTTTATTACTTTTTTCCTTTTGGGGGGGGTCATCAAGTTATTGACACCTTGCTAGGCGACTGGTGGTACTCGGATGTTGCCAAATCCTAAAAGTGGTACAATGGGTGAAAAGGTTGAAATGCCCTGGATTAGATGACCTCCAAAGATCCCTTCCAGCTCTATTATTCTGTTACTGCCTCTTCTAGAAGAAGTTTCTTTGTCTTCTCCTGACTTTTCCTTATTCTTAGGGAGATGCTTCCTGATATGCTGGACCGGGGACTTTGCTTCGTCCCCTCCCTCTTCGGAGAGAACAACAGCAGTACAAGAAGTCCTCAATTTACGAGAATTCATTTGGTGACCACTCAAGAGTTACGACGGGACTGAAAAAGTGACTTATGACCATTTTTTCACACCATTGCAGCATTCCCCTGGTCACGTGATCCAAATTCAAATGCTTCGCAACTGTCTCATATTTTTGACGGTTGCAGCGTCCCGGGGTCATGTGAAAGACTTCCTGATAAGCAAAGTCAATGGGGAAGCCAGATTCACTTAACAACCAGGTTACTAATTTAACAACTGCAGTGATTCACTTAGCAACCGTGGCGAGAAAGGTCGTAAAACGGGGGGAAACTCACTTAACAGATGTCTCGCTTAGCAACAGAAATGTTGGGCTCCATTGTGGACTACCTGTATCTCTTTTACCCACGGAGTCAATAACTGATTAACTAGAAGGCTTTTATCGACTTGGGGCAACTTTCAGAGGTATGGACTTCAACTCCCAGAATTCCCAGCCAACCCCATGCTGGCTGGAGAATTCTGGGAGTTGAAGTCCACACCTCTGAAAGTTGGCCCAGGTTGAGAGACACTGAATTAGAACTTAGGCCAGGGCTGGGCAACCTTGGCCCTTTTATGACTCGTGGACTTCAACTCCCAGAATTCCTGAGCCAGCATGGCTCAGCTTCGAAACCTCTCCCTTTCCCCTCAGCATGGCTGGCTCAGGAATTCTGGGAGTTGAAGTCCACGAGTCATAAAAGAGCCCAGGTTGCCTACCCCTGACTTAGGAGATAGCAACATCAGACTTATCTCCCTTGGCATTGCCATAGTTTATGGGTCTAGACCAGGGGTCCCCAACCCCTGGTCCGTGGACCGGTACCAGGTCGCAGCATGCTGCACAAACAAGCAAAGCCCCATCCGTGGGATGCAGGCAGCACACAAAACCATGCACCCTCCAGTCCGCGGAAAAGCCTCTCTCTATGGCAGAGCTTTTCAATCTTTTCACCCATTGTACCACTTTTAGGATATGGCAATATCCGAGTACCACCAGTCGCCTACCAAGGTGTCAGAAACTTGATGCCAAAAAAAAGGAAAAAAATGATGAAGTACAGGTACTTCTTGACTTACAACAGTTTGCTTAGTGACTGTTTGAAGTTACAATGGCACTGAAAAAGTGCCCCCCAAGCCACAGCCAAGCAAGACACCTGCCTGCCCACCCAGCGGTGCTCTCCCTCCTGTCCGAGGTTTTCATTGTTGTGAGCATTTCTGTTGAGGATTGGCAGTGGGGGTGGGGTGGGGGGTATTTGGTTTTTATTCCCCCCGTCTGCTGGGTGGTTGCAGCAGGTTTCGGTCACTTCACGTGACCCTGGGACATTGTGACCGTCATAAATATGAATCAGTTGCCAAGCATCTGAATGTAAATCACAAGACCCTGGAGAGGCTGCAACATTCTAGCTGATCGGTGCTTTTTCTGGGCTCAGCGGAAGCGCCAGGATCAGCGCTGAGCTCCAACTGGAGCCTGGCGCTGATCCTGATGCTTCCACTGAGCCCTGACAGTCTGAAGAGGCACTGATCCTGGCACCTCCGCTGAGCCCTGTCAGCCCTTGCTGCTCCAGCCATCTCTCGCTCAGGCTTGTGCGGTGCTGCCATCAGTTCAGCTATTCCCCTCCCCCACTACCACCTTTCTGGGATTGTCACGTACCACCTGCCAGATGCCAATGTACCACAGGTGGTACCCATACCCCTGGTTGAAAAGCCCTGCTCTATGGAACCATTTCCTGGTGCCCAAAACGTTGGGGGATCTCTGGTCTAGACGAGTGTTTCTCAACCTCAGCAGTTTTAAGATGTGCGGACTTCAACTGCCAACGTGACATTAAGGTCCAGAATAACAGAGTTGGAAGGGACCTTGGAGGTCATCTAGTCCAACTCCCTGCTCAAGCAGGAGACCCTATGCCATTTCAGCCAAGTGACTGTCCAGTCTCTTTTTAATCCTGGCCATTGCATGACTAGATCCTGATCCTTATCCCCTGGTAGTCCAGACCTCTTTGCAATTCTCTTGTTCATTGAAATGTGAACTCTACATCTCCTCAGTGGATTGAGCAGTAAGTACCAGTTCTTGAAGAGGAGAACATGTATAAATAATATCATCAGCTTTCCTGACATCTGCTGCCTTCCAACGGGCACGGTGGTTATCATTTCCAAACTTTCCAGGTCAGTCTGCATTTCTGGAAGTTGTAGCCGCCGATACAGTAGTCCTGAACGTAACACTCATTTGTTTCGCAACCATTTGAAGTTGCAGTGGCACCATAAAAAAGTAACTTACAAGCAATCCTCACACTTAACGATGGTTGCAGCATCTCCACGGTCCTGTGTTCAAATTCAGGCGCTTGGCAACTGACATGCGTTTATGATGGCTGTAATGCCCTGAGATTATGCAAATCGCCATTTGTGAGCTTCTTGGCCAGCTTCTGACAAGCAAAATGAATGGGTGAAGATGGATCTGAGGGGTGCTCTCTGAGCTTGGTTGTTTTCTTGCAGGTATTTCATTACCCAAACTAAGTAATATCCTCAGTGCTAGTCACAAGAAAATAAGCAAGCTCAGAGGCCACCAAGGACTCCTCGTGTCAACCCTCAGCTTACAAATATTCTCCTTTATTAGCACCACATATGGGCCTCAAACGCTTCAGACAGCACACACTAGCATTGATGACATTACCTAGTTGAGTAATGAAACGTCTGCAAGAAAACAAGCAAGTTCAGAGCACGCCAAGGACCCCTCAGATCCATCTTCTCCCATTCATTTTGCTTCTCAGAAGCTGGCTGAGAGGTTCACAAATGGTGGATTACTTAACCCCAGGACATAAGTGCATGTCAATTGCCAAGCGCCTGAATTTGAACACAAGACTGTGGAGATGCTGCAACGAATCGTTAAGTGTGAGGATTGGTTGTAAGTTAACTTTTTTTATGATGCCACTGTAACTTCAAACGGTGGCTAAGCGAATGAGTGCAAAGACTACCTCTACATAGACTTACCACGTGAGAAAGTGAGGCCTAAATGATTCTCGTCCCAATGAGAGGAACCTTTATTTTTAATTTAAGAAAACAGGAAGTTGACAATTCCTCTTTAACCCCTCCCTGCCTCTCCCCAACTCTTGCTCATTTGGAAAGCAGTTGCGTAGAGGAAAATGATGCCAGCCTGCATCCCCACAACCTCACATGAAAGAGAGGCTGTCACCATGGCAACGGAACCATCAGCGTCACCTCCCTCTTTCTCTCTCTCTCTCTCTCTCTCTCTCTCTCTCTCTCTCTCTCTGCAGGACGGACGTTTGTTACAAGAGTTCAACAAGATTGAGCCCCCTTTGATCTTTGAATGCAACCAGGCCTGCACCTGTTGGAGGAACTGCAAAAACCGGGTGGTGCAAGGCGGCATCAAGTGAGATCTTTTTTTTAAAAAAATTATTTTGTGAGATTTTATATGGGTAGGGAAAAAGTAGGGTCGGTGCGGGTACAGGAAAATCGGGATAAAAGGGACAGGGTGTAGATAACTACAGTAAATACATAATTGAGTGAACAAGCTGTCGTCCAGGGGTTCATATTAAGTATTATTGTTTATATAATACTAGACATTTATAAGAATAAATCGGTAGAGTTACAACTGACATTTGGTGAAACACTAATATTCCTTTAAATAATGTAACATAGTTGATAGCATAACAACTATTTCCAATCATCAACCTTAATACTTAATGTAGTAAAACTCTAAAATCTCTTCTTATTCTAACGTGTTTCAACCCACTGATAAAAATTTTCCCCAGGTTTTATAAAAGTTTGAATCAAGTGAGATCTTTGATTGCTTTATTGCTCTCACTGTCTCCCAAACTGAAAAAAAAAATTGCAGAAATTGTTTCTGGGTTAAAAGAACAGAGACTAAAATATCCAGGAGAGGACCAATTTGGTCCAGCACTTTCACAGCTGGAGTAGGAGCATAAAGGCTCAAGTTCTAGTTCTGCCTTAGGCACAAAAGCCAGTTGCGTGAGTGGTTCACTCTCTCTCTCTCTCTCTCTCTCTCTCTCACACACACACACACACACACACACACACACTTTTGTTTTCTCTTTCTCTCTCACTCTCACACTCACACACAGAGACATTTGTTCTCTCTCTCTCTCTCTTGTCATTGTCATTGCCTCATAATTACTTGTTATATTATGTCCCACTTTCTTCCAGTGGATATCATAGCCCAGTGGTGGCGAACCTATGGTACGCGTGCCACAGGTGGCACGCAGAGCCCTCTCTGTGGGCACGCGCACCATCGCCCCAGTCCTAGGCCTTCAGCTGGGTTTTATAAAACCTTTTCGCTTTGGGCCTCTGCCGCTGTGTGCAAAAAAAATAGAAGGTTCAATCAGTCAATTTCAACTTCTTGCGGGAAAAAAAAAGATCTTGCAAAGTTGGAATTGATTGATTGAACTTTTTAGTCCCACCCAGTCTGCCGTTACCACCGCAGCCATGCCCACCCAATGGGCCACGCCCAGCCAATGGGCCACACCCACCCAGCACTCGACAATGCATAAGTGGGTTTGGGGTTGCAGTTTGGGCACTCGGTCTCTAAAAGGTTCGCTGTCATAGCCTGTTTAATGTTTTTATTGGGTTCCCCCCTTTAATTTGAGTACTCTATAGCAGTGTTTCTCAACTGTAGCAACTTAGTAACTTTTTGATGCATGGACTTCAACTTCCAGAATTCCCCCAGCCAGCAAACGTTTACCTATTCACAACTGCATCTTTCTGTTTGGTATGTTCTTGATTGAAGGGTTCGCCTGCAGCTGTACCGAACGGCAAAAATGGGTTGGGGGGTCCGCGCCCTTCAGACCATCCCCCAGGGGACCTTCATATGCGAGTGAGTGACACTTGTTTTTCACCTGGAGCTTCCCTTTATATACGGGGTGGGGGGGTGGGGAGGGAGAGTTGCTGTATGCCTCCAGGATTGGGGGCTTGTAGTAACCTGCTGGCTTTAAGGAGACAACTCATCCTCTAATCCAGTGGTTCTCAACCTGTGGGTCAGGACCCCATTTGGGGTCGAACGACCATTTCACGGGGGTCGCCAAACAACGCAGTCCGCCATTTCCCCCCCCCCTTTTCCTTAGCTGTGCTACTCCCTTTGATTCTATTGGCTTTTGAAAGCCAATAAAATAGACTCTCTTGAATAGAGTCTAATTCTATTGGCTTTCAAAAGCCAATAGGAATTGTCCAGGCTGACTCTGCCCTGCTGAGCCCACCAAAAGTCCCATTCTGCAAACGGTGCTGCACCAGTTGAGTAGTCCTCGACTTACGACCGGTTGGGGGTTGCGGCATTAAAAAGGTTGAGAACCACTGCTCTAATCTCTCTCCCCTTATTATGCTTCCTCCCCTTAAAAGGTATGTAGGAGAACTGATTTCTGATGCAGAAGCTGACGTAAGGGAAGATGACTCGTACCTGTTTGATCTGGACAATAAGGTAAAGTTAGAAATTGGGGATCGGATGAGAGAAAGACAGTTTCTTACACCTGTCTTCGTACAGGTAGTCCTCGACATACAACGGTTCATTTAGTGACCATTTGAAATTACAGCAGCACTCAAAATAGCGACTTACGACCGTTTTTCACACTGATGATGGTCGCGGCATCCCCACCGTCACCCGATCAAAATTCAGACACTTGGCGACTGACTCAATATTTATGACGACTGCCGTGTCCCGGGGATCATGTGATCCGCTTTTGCAACCTTCTGACGAGCCACCTTAAAGGGGAAGGCAGATTCATTTAGCAACCGGGTTACTAACTTAACAACTGCAATGAATTAACTCAACATCTGTGGCACGAAAAGTTGTAAAATGGGGCAAAATTCACTTAACACATGTCTCAAAATTTAGGGCTCATTTGTGGTCATAAGTCCAGGAATACCTGTATTTCTTCGGTCTGTATTTTCATGACACACATTTCTAGCCGGGCACAATGCAAAAAAACTCTTAGCAAGTTCCATAGAATAGAAACGGGGCGATTAAAATATCCACAGCAAAACCCGGCAGTTGGCACTGCACAAACCTTACTTGAATAGGCATAATAGCACAACGCTAAAACAGGAACCTCCACAACAGGCAATCCTTACAAACACAGTAGGGACCAGAATTTCCGTTGCTAAGCAGGTTGGACGTTAAGTGAGTCGTGGCCAATTTTACGACCTTTTTTGCTATGATTGTTAAGCAAATCACTTGCGGTATGAAATGAATCGTGCCGTCGTTAAAACAAGTCTAGCTCCTCCCATTGGCTTTGCTTGTCAGAAGCCAGCTGGGGAGGTCGTAAATGGCAATCATGTGACCCCAGGATGCCAAACACCCAAATTTTGATCACGCGACCATGGGGATGCTGCAGTGATTGTAGTAAGTGCGAGGACCCTTTGCAGGTCCCTTTTTTTCAGTGCTGTTGTAACTTCAAACAGTTGCTAAACCAATGGTTGTAAGTTGAGGACTGCCCATAACATAAAAATAGAAACAGAATAAATAATAATAAATAGAATAAATAGAATTTAACTGAGCAGTTAAATTATCAGCATGTTCCCTCCCTAAATTAGCCGTCATATCTCACATTATCCAATTAGTGTGAAGGTCAAATGTTTTCTTCCTCTTTCTTTCCCGGGCTTTACCCCCAACCCCCCTTCTGCTCTGTATTCACCCCATAATTACCAGACAATTCTACATAATGTCAAAAGCAAGAATATACAATATTTGCAGCATTGACACAAAGATGGCAACGTTGAACCAAATCAGGTAAAGGCTGTCGGAACGGCTTCTTTGTCAAAAGAGTTTTCCAAAGATCGGCAGAGGGGCCAACCGAATCTTCCACAAAGTCCTGTTTCTCCTTCCTTCGGCCCTCACAAACCACCCAGAAGTGAGGGATTTGTAGTAGTTTCCTCTTCAATGCAGCTTTACTGCTGGCTGGAGCAGACGGCTCTGCGGGTATTTTGAGCAGCACACACAGGAGATGAAGTCCCAACACACCTGGGCCAGTTTGCGGGTGGGTTCTCCTTTTAAACAACACAGCCATGTTGCAGCTGGCCCTGTTTCCCTGAGAACCGCCTTCCCATGAAGCAGCCGCTCCACTTTTAAAATGCTGCTTGTCATCTGTAGTTTTATGCTGCTATTAAAAATCGATGTTTGTAGAGGGAAAGAACTGAGAATATTGCTTGAAAGAAGCCTGTTTTTAACAGAACAAAAAGGCTTGTGCTTCATTACATTAATGAATGTAAAGTTGATCATTAAGGCAGAGGTCCCCAACCTATGGCCTGCGGCCCACTAGCGGGCCGTGGCTTCTTGGCCATTGGGCTGCGTGAGTGGCTTGCCAGTGTCCATACATGTGTGCGCATGTTCACCCCCTTGTGTAGCGCTAGCCGAACTGCTAGCTGAGCCACGAGCCTCGCACTGGTGCTAGCAACCCCATTTGCAGAGTGCACACACTCACACTCCTATTTGCACGGACGTGCGCACAGCCACATTTGCGTGTGTGCACATGCGTGCGTAAAAGCGCTGCCCCTCCCTGTCCCGCTGGGCCACCAACCCAGAAAGGTTGGAGACCCCTGCGTTAGGGAGTCACAAAACCCTTCTGTTAAATCAGGGGTCCCCAACGCCCAGTCCGTGGACCGGTACTGGGCTGTGGCATGCCAGGAACCAGTCTGCACAAACAAGCAAAGCCCCATTCGTGGGATGCACGCACCCTCCGGTCCGTGGAAAAACCTTTCTCCACGGAACCGGTCCCTGGTGCCCAAAAGGTTGGGGACCTCTGTGTGAAATAGCCGGTTTTGTTCAAGTAGCATACTCTGTTGCTGTTTTCTCCCCTCAAGATTGTGCAGGATACAGGTGGGCCTCGATGCACAACCGGTTGCTTAGCAACCGTTTGGAGTTATAATGGATCTCCCTGAGGCTAACTTACAACCTGGACTGGAAGTTCCAACCGTCGCCGTCGTCCCCGTGGTTACATGATTGCATTTCAGGTGTCCAGCAGCCAGATCCCACTTGCAGCCATTTGCAGTCACATGACCACGTTTTATGATGGTTTTCTGGCAAACCAACATTTGCTTTGAGATTTTGGCAAAACCGTCCCATAGTGTGAACTGTGGGTTCCCTTAACAATCATGATATTCGCTTAATGGCTGCCGTGAAAAAAGTTGTAAAATCAGGCATGTGGATGACCTGATTTACAACTGTCACAAATTGTGACCATGATAGGTAGGCTCCATTACGGTTTTGTAATTGGAGGACTGCCTGTATTCTTGGGGAGGTTTTAGGACATAACTCCTGTTTACCAAATGAGGAGCACAGATCTTCATTTCAGAAGGAGGGCTGCAGAAGCTAGGCAGTGAGGCATAAATACAGATAAGGCCGGACCTGGTTATGATCTGCAGGGCTGGAGTTTGTCAGGGAATTTGCTTAGAGCAGGGGTAGGCAACCTTGGCTCTTTTATGACTCGTGGACTTCAACTCCCAGAATTCCTGAGCCAGCCATGCTGAGGGGAAAGGGAGAGGTTTCCAAGCTGAGCCATGCTGGCTCAGGAATTCTGGGAGTTGAAGTCCTCGAGTCATAAAAGAGCCAAGGTTCCCCACCCCTGGCTTAGAGGAGTGGTTCTCAACCTTTTTAATGCCGCGACCCCAACCGGTCGTAAGTCGAGGACTATTCAACTGGTGCAGCACCGTTTGCAGAATGGGACTTTTGGCGGGCTCAGCAGGGCAGAGACAGCCTGGACAATTCCTATTGGCTTTTGAAAGCCAATAGAATTAGACTCTATTCAAGAGAGTCTATTCTGTTGGCTTTCAAAAGCCAATAGAATAAAAGGGAGTAGCACAGCTAAGGAAAAGGGGGAAAAAATGGCAGACTGCGTTTGGCGACCCCCGCGAAATGGTCGTTCGACCCCAAATGGGGTCCTGACCCACAGGTTGAGAACCACTGGCTTAGAGAATCACAGTAGGACGGGCTGGAGCAGCAGGAGGGAGCTGACTGTGAGTGATTAGGTTAACCAGTCGGGGGCAGCAAAGGGATGCATTAAAGCAGCGGTCCCCAACCTTTCCAGCTTGGCAGATGGTTCCGTGTGAGCACTCAACCCCATTTGCACAAGTGGAGCTTCATGTGCCAGCGCCACTGCCCACTTGTACAACTGGAGCTTTGCGCGCCAGTGCTCACCCATTGCACAAGTTGAGCTTTGCACACATGCATGCTCACCTGTCGCTTGTGTGGCTCAGTTCCAAACAGGCAGCAGCCCGGTAGTGAGCTGCGGCCAGAGGGTCAGGGAGCCTTGCATTAAAGCATACCTTTAGCTGTTCTCTGAAGGTCATACATATAGATTTTTGCAGCCTAGAGCTGTTATCTCTAGTACAGTGATGGCGAACCTTTTAGAGATCAAGTGCCCAAAAACTGGTCCCGCCCCCACTCCACCCCCTGCCCCACCCCCCATCCCCTGCGCTGCCTGCCCGCAGGGCCACTCACCACCTCCAGGGCCCGCTGCAGATCGCCCAGGCAGCCCAACTGCGCTATGGTGGTCACGCCCTCTGCCCGCGCCCTGCACCATCAACTGTGCACAATGGGGTGTGAGGGCAGAGTCTTGTCTACGCTGCCTGGTTGCCATGTCCTTGGCTGTGCTGCTCCGTGTGAGCCATGCTCGAGGGCGACTCTCCTTCAGGGGGGCTGCTGGAGAGGAGGGGGTCGTGGGGGGAGGTGAGGCTGGGGCAATGACACGTGTGCCCACAGAGAGGGCTCCGAGTGCCACCTCTGGCACCCATGCCATAGGTTCGCCACCATTGCTCTAGTATTTTTGCAGCCACCCAGCTCTACTCCTCCTAGAGTGGCCCGGAACTATGGATGGCCATATGCAAACCCTGCGTCCCACGAATCCTATACAGATTGCAAGTGTTTCTCGATCTTGACTGCTTTAAGAAAGCCAGACTTCCACTCCCAGAATTCCTCAGCCATCTGCCAGGGATGGCCTAAAAATTCCTGCCCTGGCCATCTAATTGGACTAGATGACCACTAAGTTCCCTTCCAACCCTGGGATTCTAGTACTGTTCAGAAGTGTTCGGATCATCATTTGGGTCTTTCCTCTTACAGGATGGCGAGGTTTACTGCATTGATGCCCGTTACTATGGCAATGTCAGCCGCTTCATCAACCACTTGTGCGATCCTAATATCATCCCCGTACGAGTGTTCATGTTGCACCAGGACCTGCGCTTCCCCCGCATTGCTTTCTTCAGCAGCCGGGACATTCAGACTGGTGAAGAGCTTGGGTCAGTCTCGGGGTGAATTGTGTGTGTTTTGTGTATATGTACGAAGAGACATCATTGTGTGGAATTGGCCAGGAAGTGGTTGCAGATTCAGAACACCGAGGGGAGATGCACTCTTCTGCAAATATCCTCAGGGCGACTCTCAACATTTAGCATTTTTAAGTGCTACTGGTAACTCTGTCTTATCAAAGAACCCGGGTCTTTGGCAACGGAGGGAGAGTTGTATTGTCAGACCTGCAAGATGGTGAGCTAGTCAAGGTAGTCAGCCACGTCCATAGGAACTAATTCTACTTTATTCTAAGGGATCATCAACAGAATCTTGCAAATCTGATAATCCAGTTTCCCCGCCCCCCCCGGTTGCCTTTACAGTCCAAGAAACTTGGGAGAGTCTCTTATGAAATGTTTGCCATGCCTACCTTCCTGCTGCAGGCTCTGCTGCCTCTTATCTGATTATTGTCCGGTCTGCGGCTCTTCCTCCTGTCTCCACAGGTCATTCTCACACTGTTAACGGGAATTGAACAAACATGAACGTGGGCTCAGAACCTCCCCTAGGTAGGGACCCCCAACGGAAAGACTCCTTTCCTTTATAACTTCTGCCTTCTTTCACTGGGGAAGGGTGCTCGGAAAAGTGGTCCGAAGAAATAGTATATGTATGGGAATGACCTTTGAAGAGGAGAGGAGATGCTGCCTATGGAATGATCAGATAAAAAGGCTTATTATCTTGGGGTAGAGCAGTGGTTCTCAACCTTTTTAATGCCGCGACCCCCCAACCGGTCGTAAGTCGAGGACTACTCAACCGGTCGTACTCAACTGGTGCAGCACCATTTGCAGAATGGCGGGCTCAGCAGGGCAGAGACAGCCTGGACAATTCCTATTGGCTTTTGAAAGCCAATAGAATTAGACTCTATTCAAGAGAGACTAATTCTATTCAAGAGAGTCTAATTCTATTGGCTTTCAAAAATCAATAGAATAAAAGGGAGTAGCACAGCTAAGGAAAAGGGGGAAAAAATGACGGACTGCGTTGTTTGGCGACCCCCCCAAATGGGGTCGCGACCCACAGGTTGAGAACCGCTGATTTACAGCATCTAATAAACGTTGGGCTTTCAAAAGCCAATAGAATAAAAGGGAGTAGCACAGCTAAGGAAAAGGGGAAAACAAAATGGCGGACTGTTGTTTGGTGACCCCCGTGAAATGGTCATTCGACCCCAAATGGGGTCCCGACCCACAGGTTGAGAACCACTGGGGTAGAGGGAGCCCAGAACCACATAACAGGCAGAGAAAGACACTTAGACAAAATCCTCCCTACCTTATCAGACGGGGGGGGGGTCGTGTATTTTCAGACTTGTAAGGTTCTGTTGAGATGGGCTTACAATAAAGTAGAATTAGCTCATCCGGTTGTGTATCCCGTCTGGTCCGCCTGGGAAGGCTGACGAGAATCCATCCGTTCATAAAAGAGAGGAAGGAGACCTGACCCATGAGATATTTTGTCCCCGAACACTTCAGGGGTTTAAAAAAGCTGGATCGTTCAGGTTTTCAGGCTGACCTAAGTCATCTTGATGTTGTCGTTTCCCCCCCCCCCCCCGTGTCACCCGGGCTGCAGATTTGACTACGGGGACCGTTTCTGGGACATCAAAAGCAAATACTTCACCTGCCAGTGCGGTTCGGAGAAATGCAAACACTCGGCGGAAGCGATTGCCCTGGAACAGAGCCGCCTGGCTCGTCTGGAGGCCCACCAGGACGTGATGCCGGACAGCAGCAGCTTCCCTGCCTCCCAGGCTTAAGCGGGGGGGGTCCGTTGCCCATCTGCATGTGAAATCGTTTCTCCTTCTCCCGGCCCCACCCCTGACTTCCCCCGTTCTCCCACCCACCGCCGACTTCCGCTTGGCTTCGCGGTTTGGAACACCGAAGCTGCTCTGCTCCAAAAGGAATTTGCCTTAAGAAGTGTCGCATTGGCAGAAGGAAGAGAAGAAGGCGGAAGATGCGTGTCTGGAGACGGGTGGGCGAGGGGTGTCCGGGTGTGAAAGGAAAGGAAACCTCCGCCACAAAAGACAACTCTTGGCCCAGGAGATCTGCGCTCCTGAAGGTTTTCCTCACAACTGATGCACCCACAAAATCTGACTCTTGTGGTCGGCTGGAGAAACAGCTGGCGGAGACCAGAGAAGCGGGGGGGGGAGGGGGGGTGTCTTCTTCATTAGATTTTATTTTGAAGTGAATCTAAGGCAAGTGCCATTTTGCCCTTTTCTCTCTTCCTTGAGCTCACTAACCTTTTTATGTGACCCAGCCAAATCTTTGACACCTGCCTCTGTGGGTCTACGACAGGGGTCTTCAAACCTGGCTCTTTTATGACTTGTGGACTTCAACTCCCAGAATTCCTCAGCCAGGTACTGCCTGGCTGAGGAATTCTGGGAGTTGAAGTCCACAAGTCAAAAGGGCCAAGTTTGAAGACCCCTGGCCTACGACGACTCGACATGGCCATCTCACCGTGGTCAACTCGCCTCAGAACAACTCGCTGCGGGACAAGAGACCAGTGGTCCCCCTAGAATCATGAAAGAAAGGATGCCAAAGGAGGGACAAAATAAAATGTAAATGCCAAAATTAAAATTATTTTTAAAATTATTTTAACAAAATAAATTTAATTGTTGGAATTGTCCTGCAGCGAATTGGCCGTGGCGAATTTGGCTGAGGCGAGTTGTCCCATTCCTTGCCTCTATTTCCTCTATCTCAGGGGTCTTCAAACTTGGCCCTTTTATGACTGGTGGACTTCAACTCCCAGAATTCCTCAGCCAGCGTGCCTGGCTGAGGAATTCTGGGAGTTGAAGTCCACCAGTCATAAAAGGGCCAAGTTTGAAGACCCCTGCTCTATCTGGAGGCAGGCAGCAAACGCAGGAAATTGGGAGCTCGCTCCAGCTTTCTGGGCCAAAAAAGCAGCCTCCACCAAAGGCTTGGGAATGCTCTATTTTTATTTTATTTTTTCCTGAGCAGAGAAACAAGAAAGGCGTCCAAATTCCATTGCAGCCAGGTTGCGCATAGGGGTTTTTGTGCATCAACACATCCTGGGAAGGCTTAGAAGTTTAGAAAGCAAGGATCAACTTGAAAGGCCTTTTTGCCATCACCTAGTGTACTTGTGCTTATGTGTGAATGTGTGTTCTGACTGGAAGGGCCCGTGTCCGAAGTTTCCCTTCTCGGGGGGGCAAGTTCATTTTGGATCAAGGTTCACTTTTGAGTTGGAGCAGTGGCTTGTCTGCTCTCTGTCTTTGAGGTGGATTTTATTTTATTTTATTTTATTAGTTCTTTTCTCCCTGTTCAACCCCAGCAAAAGAGGTTTGACTCGGTTTTGGAGGGCCAGCCTTATCTCAGTCTCTTTTTGTATAGGTTTCATAACTTGGGGTTTTTTATAATGTAATTTTCTCGCACCGTAAAACCAATAAAGGTTGGCAACCTGGTGGATTTTGATATGATGAAAAGTAACTGCAGCAGCTTGAATCTTATTTGATAGCTTTGTTCTCCGTTTCCCCGGTCAAGGAAATGCCTGCAACCTGCATTCTTCTTCCTAATTCCCATATCTTCCCCAGGGCTGCCCCAGTATATTTCATTTCGCTGTTGGGGGCAAGAAATAAATCAGATCTCCAAACTCACAAGTCCCAGAGCTAATCACATCCCTTTGGCATCAGATATATGATCCCCTAACATTCCTATCACTTCCTGAAAGTGAACAGTGTTTTAAATCAGCGTCCCCAAACTTTTGGGTACCAGGGACCCATTCTGTGGAGAGAGGTTCTTCCGTGGACTGGAGGGGGCCTGGTTTCACGTGCTGCCTGCATCTCACCGATGGGGCTTCACTTGTTTGTGTGGCCCGGTTTCTGGCATGCTGCAGCCCGGTGCCAGTCCACGGACCAGGGGTTGGGGAGCCCTGTTTTAAATGATAGCGATTTAAATCTCTTGTCTGCCTGCTCTTGAGACCAAGTTAGCCAAACTTGACACGCCCCCTGTTGCTAGGAGATCCAGTCTTGACTTGGTCTCAAGCTCTTGAAGACATGTCAGGTTTGGCTCTCTGATTTCAACAGTCTCTGTTTGATTAGATAGCACAGTGGTTCTCAACCTGTGGGTCAGGATCCCATTTGGGGTCGAACGACCATTTCACGGGGGTCGCCAAACAACGCAGTCCGCCATTTTCCTTAGTTGTGCTACTCCCTTTTCCTTAGTTGTGCTACTCCCTTTTATTCTATTGGCTTTTGAAAGCCAATAGAATAGACTCTCTTGAACAGAGTTTAATTCTATTGGCTTTCAAAAGCCAGTAGGAATTGTCCAGGATGTCTCTGCCCTGCTGAGCCCGCCAAAAGTCCCATTCTGCAAACAGTGCTGCACCAGTTGAGTAGTCCTTGACTTACGACCGGTTGAGTAGTCCTCGACTTACGACCGGTTGGGGGTCGCGGCATTAGAAAGGTTGAGAACCACTGAGATAGCAGATAGTTTTCCATTGTTAGATTCTCCTCTTACCTTTCAAATTCTGCAGGTTGGTGGATTCTTTGATCCTCTCCTCACACCCCATCTCCTTTCCAGAAACGCTGGGATCAGTGCTGCCTCAGATCTTCCGATCTTGTTTTGGGGGGGGGGGGCTGCAGCCGTTGTTTTTTTTTTTCTCCTTCCCCAGGGCTCTGGGTGAATTCCCTTCCTTCTCCCCTCACTCGTGGGACCCCTTGTGCTGCTGCTCCAATTAGCTACTCAGTGTAAACGACCCCACGAGGCTTCAGGCAGCTTCCCCAACGGCCGGAAAGTCGCGGTCGCCATTTTGGGTGCCGCCGAAGCCTCCGAAAACTGTAAACAAGCCATTTTGCTGCCGAAGGTACCGGTACACATCCAGTGCTACCTTATTAACAGCTACATTAATAAGCCACTGCTTTCCCCTCAATGATACAGCTAGCCCTTTACAAGTAGTCCTCAATTTATGACAGGTCGCTTAGCAAGCATTCAAAGGCACGATGGACCTCCCCCTCTTAAAAAAGGTACTTAAAATCGGGTTCTGATGTCTGCCCCGCTCAGTCACATGACTGCATTTTGGGCACTTGGCAGCCAGCCCCTATTTACATCCATTTGCAGAGCTCCACAGACAAGTGACTGCAATTCGCTTTGTTTTGCAGGAAACGGATGCGTTTACTTCTGGTTTCTGGCAAAACACAGTGAACAATGGGTTTGCTTTAACAATCGAGAACGTTCATTTGGACCACTGTGTTCATTTCGCTGCCACAAAAAAAAAAAAAAAGGTTGCACGGTGACCCACTTTGCAACTGTCCTGACTTAACGACCACAATTGGCAGTCTCAATTATGACTGTAAATTGAGGACTACCTGTATATGGCCAAAATAAGTTTGGAAAGCAAAGGTTCCCATTGTCAAAAAAAAAGGCTTAAATTTTATAGCCTCAGACCTGTGACAAGGAACTAACAAGCTACTTATTGAGTGCACAACTTTTCAGGCCGCCTGCATTAATCTCAAGAGAGCAGAGACAGATGGGTAAAGCTTGGGGTTTTTTCCTTGGGCAGCAAGAAATAGTCTACTTTTTGTTCAGTGTGTTTGTTCCTTGAGGTATACAAAATAGCATCTCCCGCCTCTTTCGGCTCCTCACCGTCAAAATGACAAGGAAGAGAAGAAACAATGGCCCGCCAAGAAGGGCCGACAACTGTGCCCAAGGATAAAGCTATTAAGAAGTTTGTCATCCAAAATACTGTAGAACAGTGGTTCTCAACCTTTTTAATGCCGCGACCCCCAACCGGTCGTAAGTCAAGGACTACTCAACTGGTCGTAAGTCAAGGACTACTCAACTGGTGCAGCACCGTTTGCAGAATGGGACTTTTGGCGGGCTCAGCAGGGCAGAGACAGCCTGGACAATTCCTATTGGCTTTTGAACGCCAATAGAATTAGACTCTGTTCAAGAGAGTCTATTCTATTGGCTTTCAAAAGCCAATAGAATAAAAGGGAGTAGCACAGCTAAGGAAAAGGGGAAAACAAAATGGCGGACTGTTGTTTGGCGACCCCCATGAAATGGTCGTTCGACCCCAAATGGGGTCCCGACCTACAGGTTGAGAACCACTGCTGTAGAAGCAGCTACAGTCCAAGATATCTCTGAAGCGAGTGTCTTTGATTCCTATGTGTTACCCAAACTCTGTGTGAAGCTTCACTATTGTGTTAGCTGTGCTATCCACAGCAAGGTGGTGAGGAACCAATCCCGTGAGGCCCGGAAGGACCGCACTCCTCCCCAGTTCAGGCCAGCAGATGCTGCACCGAGATCACCCCCTAAGCCTATGTAAGGAGATATTTTAAAAGATGTCAATGTCAAATATTGAGTCAATAAATACATTTTACAAGTAAAAAAAAATAAATAGAATTTCCCGTATTCCAGAAGTTGTGACTCCCAGGGGACAGAGGTCACAAAAAGGACTTGGCCACTCCAGATTGTCATTAATCTTGCCGGTAAACTGATCTCAAGCCATTGGTGTCTTTGTAGATTGTAGCTACCTGTTTAAACTGGAGGAGGTTTGGGTATGGGAATTGCTAGAATAGAGTGACGGAAGAAGGTGTGGCTGTCTAACCAGCCAGAACTTTGAAAGCATCTATATTTTATTTTGTGAAAATACGCAGCTCCTTAGTTCTGCCTCTCCCTTGTATTACACTTCTGTAAAGAGGTCTTCTGTTCTTTCAGACTTTGCTGATGGAGAAAACTTATGAGCAGGAAGGAAACCTGGAAACGGTGGTTGGTGACTTTTCTCCCCCTCCCACTGAAGTAAATAAGGGAAGAAGTTTAAAAGAGGAGAGATATTTTTTTCCCCAACAAAGCATCAAGGGGAGAGAAAAACAGGCAAATGGAAAATAAAAAGTATAGGGCTAGCAGCTGAGGCTGGTGGGAGTTGAAGTCCAACACAACAGGCAACTGGAACTAGTGTTTCAGGGTGGATGAATTGTGACCGGGAAACCAAATAGGGTTGGGTGTTCTTGGAACAAGTAGATCAGGGGTAGGCAACCTTGGCTCTTTTATGACTCGTGGACTTCAACTCCCAGAATTCCTGAGCCAGCCATGCTGAGGGGAAAGGGAGAGGTTTCCAAGCTGAGCCATGCTGGCTCAGGAATTCTGGGAGTTGAAGTCCACGAGTCATAAAAGAGCCAAGGTTGACTACTCCTGAAGTAGATGTATTTCGTTATGCAGTAAAAACTGGCAGAGGGTGGAAGCAGAAGCAGACATGGCCCCCTTAGGGATGATGAAATGATTCAGAAAAAGAGAACTAACCCACCAAGCCCCCACTTTAACCTGTAAGAGGAAGTTGGAAATCAGCTCTCAAAATCCCCACTGATTGATAAGGGACGTTTTGGTGCTGCTTCAGTGAAAGTACGGCACCTAACTTTACAGGGATTAGGAAATTCTCAGTATTTTCAAATCTATTGAAATATACAATCAACACAAACACTATTGCAATCACGGAAAGTATAACTTCTGTCGTTGAAATAGCCAGATTCATTGCAAGCTCTCACATTCTTGAAGGAGTCCTGTTTCCAAAGGCTTCCTAAATGTTAAAATGTGAGAATATGGTTCCTGTCACTGATGGTGGGGATAGTCCCACCCGGAGATTCCTTATTCATAGTCTCTAGATGTCCGGGCCCCAAGCTATCCTGGACTCTAAAAATGATCAACAATACCTTGATTAGCATCCAGAAACACACTGGCATCCAGTGCAGTTCCTATACAGATCCTTTTGGTCAGGATTCCAACTGACGAACCCAACTAAGTAAACACTTTAGAGTCTTTCCAAACTCTTAATGTAAAACTTTATTGAGTACATCATTTCGGCACCCATGCAAGCAAAACCAGCTCGGGCAAAACCCCACTTCAACCCCATATAGTAAAAGTATAGAATTCCCCCTCCTCCTTGGTCAGGTCATGTTGCCCAATTAGGTGGATAGATATTGTTATGAGAAAGTGTCTCTGGGTCTGGCCAGACACCTGGTGAATTGTCCTTGGGTCTCACGGTCTGCTTTCTTGATCTTTTGAAGTCTGCATTCCAATCCCTTTTCCTTCCCCCAAGTTCGTTGACAAGCTGAGAAGCAATAATTGTCAGACCAGCAAAAACGCGCTTCGAACTTGATATCCTTGACTTATTGCCATTCCTTTAGAGACTCTTTGAAGTTGTGACAGTGCTGAAAAAAAGTGTCTTATGCAGGTCCTCACACTTGTGACTGTCACAGAATCCCTGCAATCATGAGATTGTGATTCAGGTACTGGGCAATGGTTGTGCATTTACAACAGTTGCAGCACCCATTGGTCAATGATTGCCACTTGCTACCTTCCCAGGTAGTTTCTGACAAAAATGGGGCAGCCAGAGTGGAACGTTGCAAGACACTGTCGTGTGATGTGTCATTTGACTGCAGTGGTTCACTTAACGACCATGGCAAGAAAGGTCATAGAAAATTAGATGCGG